GTTGGGGGGGGGGGGGTGGCACCGAAGAGAAAAGGGTTGGATAGACAAAATTTAAGATAAAAATTTATTGTCATTTCTAAAGCATGTCTCACTCAAATATTGAAGACTAAAAAGCAATGTCAACAGTCATATGTCAATACATTATGTAAATGAATCAATCACTATCTTGATGATTTTGCGATTTGTCAGGAGGCAAATGGTGTCTCCAAAGAAACTACATGTGCAGACAATATGAAACTTTAGACTGCAGAAAATTGCACAAGCAGTTATCAAACCATGTCACAGAAATGGTAAAGGACATGGGTGCAAACTGAATGGTATCCTTTTGTAAAGTTTTTGGCCAGGGTGGGTATTTATTTTTTAATTGATATTTGAGGTTGGGTAAAAATGTTTAAAATTTTTTGATGGTTGGATCAGCGAAATGTTTACCAAGAAAAACATTTCCCTTCGGTGTCTCCCGCCATTAATAATGACCGGTCCCTTAGACGTTTGACTGTCTGCATTAAAGATAACGTCGTATACGTATCGTGGATTCTTGAGGTATAACCTTACCCTGTGTTGTTTGTGATGTTACTCTGAGTGTGCATCCACACCGGGCATGCTGAAAAGTTTGATTCCCACCGTGGTCAAGCAAACTTTTCAGCTTGCCCGGTGTGGATGCACACTCAGAGTAACATCACAAACATCATATTCACCTGCGTACTCATAACACTTACCCTGTGTTGTTTTCTTTGGTTAGGCTTGCTTTGTTTCAACTCTCCCATGAGATCAAAGTAAGTTTGTAGTTAAATTTATCGTTATCTAGGCTTGCAGTTTCGTACTGATTACGCGTGCATGCCTCGTGTATTTATACGTTTAATATTATAAATATTTTTCTGTTAGAATCTTGTACTATATGATGAATATCGGAACGGAAAATTACATTCACAGTTCAATGCTCCCAAGAAGTAAATCAGAATGTAAGTTCGACCTGACAGCGCCATGTTTGCACGTATTTATTTCTTTTTAGGCAGTTTGCAAACTGCGGCCACAGATGTTAGTCTGAGCCCACGATGCCATGCTCATTTTATCCCACCCCATTCTTGTCACCGTCATACTATAATTGTGTGATTTTTTTTCTTTCTAGGTGAACGTTATTCCTGCTTTTCATTTCTACGTTTTATTAACTTGGCACCGTCTGATGCGTGCGCCATTATGACCAAAGATATCGCGTTTAGGTTTATATTTTTATTATTGTTATTGGAAGACGCATATCGACTATATCACCGCAGACTATGGAGTGATGAAGCTCAACACTCTAGGTATGGAATAATAATGTTCAACACATCTAGCCTTTTAGCGATACCTCTTTTAATGAATGGAATAATTTTTACTTTTGAGCTTAGAGAGTCACATGAACTATAAACATTTGTTCTGCAAATTGTTCATCTACATGTACAGTGTTTTTATAAAATTACGTTTTTTAAATACTCTTCTCAAAGTCTTTAAGTTTTGACATTTTTATTTATCGTAGGTTTCTCAGTCATCATGACCTCATACTGTGGCCATCATTTCGTCTATCTTTCCCGGAAATTCAATCTGGACCAATCACGAACGAGCTTGTGTTCACGAGACCTACGATGACAACGAGCTGCAACATGACTCACAAGATTGTTCCAGTCATCGCCGACGATGATCATAAACGACATCACGTGGTTAAAAAGAATAGCCCACGTGCCGTTAGGCACCCCTTGTCACCCAGCAATGACTCCACGTCACCCACCAAACACCACCCTACATCACCTACCAAACACCCCCATTCCCCAACAAAGCTACCCCACTCCCCTACCAAGCACTCCCCTACCAAGCATTCCCCAACCAAGCACCCCCGCTCCCCTACTAAACATCCCCACTCGCAACTCAAGTCCCCCGGTACCGGTAGCGAAGATCCCTTCAGTTTGCATTCCCCACCTAAAATAAAATCTCCCACTAAGCACCATCCCTCTGGTGGGGGCCACCATAAGTCACATCCCCACCATCACACACACCAACACCACCACCACCATCTTAAACACCATGGCAAGCAAGATGGTGAAACAGAAGCGCCCAGTTCACAACAATCTACAGATGGTACCACCGCAAGCACCTCTACGTCCGAACATGAGAAATCCCAAGAAGAAAATGAGACAAAAAAGGAAAGTTCCTCAGCAGGGAAAAATAAAACAATTCTTCGAACACTGCAACCAACATCTCCACCTAAGTTTCTTTTGGCTTACGTTCCTAAGGTAAAATCAGGGGTCGCAATTTACGCTGTTTCGCTAGATAATGAGTTTTCAAGTCTTTCTAAAAAAAACTATTACTAAAAACCAAGCTTTCGGGCTAAGCGTCCATCATCAAGGTTAAAGAACTTGTATTTCTTTAAGAGTAGCAACTGTTCTGGGTGAAATTATAGATATGGATAATATTATAGGTAATGATCTATGGGTAACATTATAAATACTGTATAGATTCTTGGATGCAGAAATATTCTAGTTCTTTAACCCTGATGATAATGGATGCCTTGTCTTAAAGCTTAGTTTTCTGTTTCATTTTAAAGTTATTTTTTAGAAGGCTAAAAAACTAATTGTAGATGGGTTTGATAGAAGAAACTATGGGCGTTTTCCATTAAATGGCCTGACCAGTCAGACCCAAATTTTTGTCTCTGTATCAATGGAAATATCTGGTCTATGTTTCTCAAATATCTAGCGAAAATGGACCGGTCAGATAGGTCCGGAGCCCAAACGTTTTGTGTTCCATTCAACAATTTGACCGGTCTGGCCGTGTTAATGGAAAGCGCCCTAAGCTTGCTTGCAGGCCAAAATTTGGTAAATTTACCTGCCACGTGACTTCTACTATTTCCAGGTGGTTGCTCAGCCAGCAGGTTTCTACACATGTGACAGAACTGGTGCATACAAAGCAAGTGAAATGAAGAGATCTACATCAGATTTCGACAACAATCTTCTACTATATGGTGCTCTGGATCACGAGTACCTGAAACAGAGGAAACATCTTTTCTTTCCACAACCCTTGGGTGGTTTTGTTGGCATGGATCCCAAAGGTGGATGGTCCCATATACAAATTCCAGGTATGGTATCTCAGATTCTCACGTAGTTAAGATCCAGCCAAATCTGTTGGGGAGGGGCATGATGCTTTGGTCATGGTTCAAGGAAACTACGGTAGCAAGGGCTAGACAGTAGTGTGTAGTCTTACAATTTAGCGTTCAAGTTACTATCTCATTTTGTCTCTAACTTGTTTTTGTAATTGCCTTTCCAAATCCTAAACTGGATAAGGAAATTGGCACCCCCACCCATTTGCCCCCCCCCCTTGTCAAGGCTAGGAGTGTATAAAACCCTCGTAAATCCATCCCAGATGGATTAGCTGAGGGGTTGAATATTGCACCTTGTTCGTAAATGTGGATGATTCTGTGATCGTAGAATTACATATTTTAGAGACATTGTTTATTTTTGTAGATCGTGAAATTCTCATCACTGACAGTGGTAAGATGAAAGAACTTGACCGTTTGCTAACGAGATTAAAGTTCCAAGGTCACCGTGTCCTGGTGTATTCCCAGATGACGAGAATGATTGACTTATTGGAGGAATATATGGCATACCGTAAACATAAATATATGAGACTTGACGGATCATCGAAAATCTCGGAAAGACGTGATATGGTTGCAAACTTTCAAACCAAGTAAGTTAACTGAATGCCGAACCTTGAGCAAACTTTCATATTACTATGTCGATCTTCATGTTTTATAAGATTCATACTGTATCATGTTCTATAAGGCCATTTAAGCACTTATAAACATACATGCATCTTCTTTGAATCCGTCTTTGTTCTATAGTCAACCATTTAAGTGCAGCTAGAGCTTCAGATGCCGATGAGTCGCTTTATCGAGCAACTCAATTTTATCGATCAATTTACCGACCTTTTCCAATCATTACTGTATACCGTCAAGTCACTTTTTTCCTACAATAATCTCCGTTTTACCGAGTTTTCTAAAATGTGGAGTCGCCCCCCCCCCCCCCAATCCCCCTTCCAAGACTACAGTCTGGCAGTCGAATGCTCATGAAATGGAGAAATATTTTAAACCAGAGAGCGTTCAAGAAGCTCAATATGAATAATACTGGTTTCTCCATAAATATATTTAAAATCATCCACTAGCATTAACTAGCATCTGTTTTGAGGCGACACACTAATAAAAAATTATCCAATTAATTGACCATTTAGCTAATAATTCAATCCATATCTTTTTTACAGATCCGATATCTTTGCGTTTTTGTTGAGTACTCGAGCAGGCGGGCTAGGCATCAATCTGACAGCTGCAGATACTGTGATATTTTATGATAGTGACTGGAATCCCACAGTAGATCAACAAGCTATGGACCGCGCTCATCGTCTGGGACAGACGCGTCAAGTGACTGTCTATAGATTGATTGCTAGAGGAACGATAGAGGAGAGGATTTTACAGAGAGCACAAGAGAAAAGCGAGGTAGGATGAACATTAATGTTAGCTGTATCTTAGAAGGATCATACTTGCACGTAGAATAAGAAAGTGTATCTGGTATAGTTTGGTATGGTATGGTATGGTATGGTATGGTAGTGCATCATGATATACAGTATGATATGGTATATTATGACATGGTGTTGTATGGTATGGTTTTATATAGTTAGGTGTGGTGTGGTATGTTGTATTACGGTATAGTGCAGTAGTATGCTGTGGTTTTGTATGATATGGTATTGCATACATTAGTATGGTGTGATATAGTAGTGTGTGTTATAGTCTGGGAAGGTATGGTATGCCTTGCTATGATATGGCACAATGGGATACTGCAGTCTGGTATGGTGATGTATAGCGTGTTATATGGTATAGTATGGTATTGATATGCATGGTATTGCATGACATTGTGTGACATGAAATGTTACGGTAGTATATGGTACAGCATATCATGGTATTGTTGAAGGTGTGGTCTGGTATTGTAAAGTATATTGCCATAGCTATGGATTTCATTCTATCTGCAAACATACAAAAACTAAAAGAAAATAAATTACCATCATGTGCCTAATTATTCCTGATCCTTTATCTAGATTCAAAAAATGGTTATTTCTGGTGGACAGTTCAAACCAGATGCTCTGAAACCCAAGGAAGTTGTTTCATTACTTCTTGATGATGCTGAGATGGAATGTAAGTTTATTCAAAAACAAGCTGAGAAGAAAGCAGACGATCAGAAGAAACGACGTGAAAGGAAGCGAAAGCAGCCTGATGTTTCAGTGCAGGTACAACTTCTCTTTTTGTGCCTTGAAAGAATTAAGAATTGACCTTATGCATAATGACGTCGCAAGGCTTGATGCCCGCGAGGAATGCTGGTCTTAGTAGTCATCGCCCGTAAAAATTAAACAATTCAAAATGGCCACTATCGAAATTTTCCCGGGCGATGACTACTAAAATCAGCGTTCCTCGCGGGCGTCGGGCCTTGTGACGTCATTATGCATAAGGTCTATTATTGAAAGAACGAGAATGACCGTTATACCATACACGTCATTTCTGCTCCCGAGGGAATAGTTTTATTCAGTGGCGAAAGCTAGTCGTTGCAACTGGTCATGCTATGCTATTAAACCTACATCTAAATAGGTTAAAAGACAATACATTTCTAAACGTTTGAATAATGAAAATCATTGAAAATTTCCACAGCATGTCCTGTTGCTACACCACTGATTTTGTTTCCCCGAGCGTCTCAATGTTTTCGGAGACGAAGTTGAGGGCAGGACCGGCGCTAAAGAGGGGTGGGGGAGGGCTGAGAAGGAACCCCCCCCCCCCCCCCAATCATAAGGTAGTCGGCAAAATATTGAATCACAGTCGGCAAAACATGGATTTGGATAGGAAGAAAAATTAAAAATTAAGAATGATAGCTAAAATGTGGAGAAATTTACGAATCAATTACGGACAGCGATGGTTGAACACAAAATAATATTGAGAAATATGAATCGGCCGTGCGAAAGGCTAATTGGCTTATTCTTCTCGACCATTTATAGACTGAGAACGCTGAAAAAGACGGCGATGTGGAGGGCGCTGTACCAAAGAAACGTGGACGTAAAAAGAAACTTCAAGCAGAGCCCCCATTATCGGAAACGAGCGACAGTCGAGCTCCGTCCGAGATTGGCTCGACCAATGGCGAGATTGTTAACATAAAGATGGAGACTGCTGACGTAGACGTTTCTGTCGCTGATGACATCAGCATTCAAAGTTTGGATGACGGTAAGTTAGCTTCAGTGATCTCAAAGTTAGGACTGAATAAATATTTTGTGTTTTTGTTCGGCAAATAGCCAATGCCGACCGTTATCATCCACATTGCTAGTTCCATAATCTACTTGCTTACTTTGTTCTGTAATCTTATTAGCCATTATGGTTATTACAGGTATCAGGTACTCTTCTTACATTTTTGTTTCTGATATAATTCAAAATGTAAATATTTTATTTTGGGTACAAATAAATCTTTGTCGTCGTTGTTGTTGTTGTTGTTGTTGTTGTTGTTGTTGTTGTTGTTGCTGTTGCTGTTGCTGTTGTTGTTGTTGTTGTTGTTGTCGTCGCCGTCGTTGTCGTTGTTGTTGTTGTTGTTGTTGTTGTTGTCGTTGCAATGTTGCGACATCGTTGCTCAGTCATCCTCAAGTGGTTGTTTTGTGCTTTAGTATCTGTGGCATCCGGAGATGGTCTCACGATTGATCTTACACCAAGTATCCACAGTACACCTACCAAAAGTGATGCGGACACAAGTCGCGATAGTCCCAGTTCCTTATCAGGGTCAAAAGTTCGCGGCCGAGTTCGTGGCAGAGGAAGGGGTCGAGGTAAGTTTACTCCCTAAGGATGTGCCAGCTGCTGTTTTGCCGAATGGTACCTAGAGTATCAAGCTCTGTATAACAAATAGAGCCTGATACAAACCTTAATTTGATCGCTCTCCGCCCACAGTAAAGTTTATAAAAAGTATCCAATCACAAATTCACAATGTCCCAGCAGAAATGTCAAGTTCACACAATCAGAACAACAATCTAATTATTGTTAAAACTACTAAATATATCATGAACAATAGTATAATCTAATTACCACTAAGCAATCAAAAGACAGATTAAGATGTTTTTGTCTGGTAGACCATATGATGTTTTTGTCTGAAATATCAGACAGAGTTTGCCTCTTTCCGTTTCCACCGGATAATAAGCTGATAGTAATGAAAGTACTCGGATAATACATGCATCTTACTTTTACAACCATATCTGCTTTGACTGCGCACGTCAGCACCGTGTTTCGCAAATTACAATACCTTGTGTTCATGACGGGAAAAATAGTCGAGCACGCGAAAAATTAAACAGTAGGAAACTGTAGGATATTTGTGTAATATGGGCTCAATAACCTTGAATAATATGGGCCCAACAACCTAAGGTTGACAGACATCTTTGCCAGAATTTAACACCATGGTCAAATGTGGTGTTTAGGCGCAGATTTAGCACAAAGATACTCCGTTGCTGTGCTCCCAGGAAGATGTGCTCCCAGGAAGAGAATTATTTTCTCCAACCCTGCTTGTATTTAATTTATGTTTCCTTGTTAGGACGTACCCCCAGCCGTGGTCGAGGACGTGGCAGAGCCCGCGGTGCATCGGGAGCATTGGCAGCGGCTGCAGCTGCAATGGCAGGCGCGGCAGCAGGGTCAGCCGCCGCATACGCTGCATATGGTTTCAGTTACCAAGGAAACGCCCCCACTCCACCATCAAGCCGTGTTAGTCCAGTGGCGTTCGGGGCCGGCCCCTCTCCCACCTCAAGTGGGGGACATAAACAAAATACAGGGGTGGTACTCCCACCCCATGTTGCAAGACACGAGGGGAATACGAATACACCTGCTGATGGAGATCAGATTAATGTGACTCGAGTTGATACGAACGTTTTAAAAAACGAGAAAGAAAATGAAGCGGATGCCACGTGATGGACACGTGTTGTGTAGACTTCACGAAGTGGAGCAGTCTGGTATACACACATGTACTCCAAGAACACTCGGGGTCAAAATTCTCTTGGTTAGACTAGAAATAACCATATTTGGGTTAACTTCATATCAGGCCTAGAAATAAGATTTTTCTTCCTGGCAGCAAAAATTAAATTTCCTGTGTACACCAAATGTAAAGGCGGTTTTCCACAAGGCGAAATTTTTCGACCGAATCGAAATTTCTCTTTGTTTCATGAGCTCTCGAGCAGAACTAATTGTAAAAAGACAAAGAGAAATTTCGTTTCGATCGAAAAATTCCGCCTCGTGGAATCAGGCCTTAAAGGCGGTTTTCCACTAGGCGAAATTTTTCGACCGAATCGAAATTTCTCTTTGTTTCAGAGCTCTCGAGCAGAACTAATTGTAAAAAGACAAAGAGAAATTTCGTTTCGGTCGAAAAATTTCGCCTCGTGGAATCCGGCCTTAAAGGCCCATTTCCACTCACGAAAAATTTCCACGGACAGAAAATTTTCCGAAAATCTCATTGTTAAAAGTTGAAAATTTTCAACTTCAAAATTTTTTTCCGGCGGAAAATTTGTGTCGGCCAATCACATTTTACAAAATTTTCTTTCTGCAGAAAATTTTCCTGAGTGGAAATATGGGCCTTAAGACTCTCTGCCTAGCTAGGTTTCAGATAGTGTGCTGTACTACTAGTACCATCAATGTCCACACATGACAACACTATGAATTTCACTTCAAAAACAGATCTGGAATTTTATAACAACATTCAAGCAAATTGTATTTCAATATATAAGATGATAAAAATTTGCAGCTGTAATTTCCTGCGAAGATATTTCGACAACTGGCCCCAGGAGATTTTACCAGAAATAATAAGTTAACCCAAATAATGATATTTCTAGGTTACAAGTAAAGTTGCTACAAGGTTGTTCGATCAAGCCGGTATCAGGTTGTGTTTGCTCTGCTTCTTGTTCGTAATTTGAGAGTTAGACTGAGTACTTTGGTAAAAATGCGCAACTTATAACAAACTTGTATAACAGATTTGTACCAAAGCTGTTTCAACAACGTGTCATCAGGATGTGTTCGCAATGTTTGTTGACAAGTTGTGAGTAACATTAGAGCTACTCCCGATTGACAAGGTTGCTTCACGTCTGCATGTTTTGAATACATCTTGTTGACAAGATTTGAGATTTTTACGTTTGTAGCTCAATAGCAGCATTTCCACGTTGTTGATGAACAATGGCGCAACTAACGTATATCAGTTGTTATAACTATAACAATTATAACTATAACAACTTTCAGAGTGCAATTCGGTTGAAGGTTGTGAGTAACAAACTTGTAGCAATTTAATTTGATGAAAAGTAGCAGCATCCTTGCAGTATGTTCACAAGGTCGCTATACAAGGCTTTTCCTAACATACAGTATATCTACAAGATGTGACATTTTTAACAGCATCCCAACAGCGACTACTGAGACCCTATCTTATTCCCTCATAGGAGTCGAGATAAAATTTATGACGTAAGGCCAGACAGCGGCTAGATAACATATTTGTAACAAATTATTTGCAGGACTGAAACAGCTTGTAAGTTCTGTTACGCGTATAGATAGGTACAATTTGTTTAATCCATGCAGAGCTCCACCAGGCGACTTGTTTACCTAGCCTATATAAATCAATTATTGCCTTGTCTATTCGAATGTTTAGTGAACAAATTTTGAACAAATAAACAGACGAAGTCAGAGTTAAAAGTCTTTACCAATTATTGCACATCTTGAAAACCTGAGCTCAAGTTTATAAGCTTTAACTAAAGAGTGTGTCGATGTAATTTGCAATTAGCCATTTCCCAAAGTCCTGGGTCTGGTCGCGCGAATCCCATGTTGGAGGGACAAGAAATATGGCAGCACACATTTAAATTAAATGTTTAATGTAAAAAGGAGATATTTCATTTTTGGTCGTCTAAAAATTTGATAGTAGATACAGTAGATACTTCTACTCTCTCACAAATTAGACGCCTGTCGCCATATATTTTGTCCCTCCAAACGATCCCAGAATGCACTGTGATCTCTTTTGGGAAAATGCTAATTGAATAACTCTATTGGTTCTAAACTGTTCTCCCAGGAAGTCGAATGTCTGGAGCGATTGAGCGTACCGAAGTTCCTAGAAAGGTACTTTTCGCACATGAAATTAAAATTAAAAAGTTAGGACGGTAAGTTCAGTGGGCAAAATATTCTCGAGTAAAGTAATGCACTCATAGTGACTCAAAATATGAGCAAAATTACTCAATTTTATGAGCGAAAAATTACTCGTTTTTTCGAGTAAACTGTAAACTAAATATTTACTAAAAAAATTGAGTAAACTTGAAAATTTGACTAAAAAAAATTGAATAAGTTTACTCGTATATTTTAGTAATTTTTCTCAAAATTTTGAGTCACTATGTATAATTATGATTGGAAAACCATTAATCATTATATGTTGCTTTCGATTTTTATTTACGTTTGTTTCAGATTGGATTTTTCCATTTATCCCTTTGAACAACCAAAAATGAAGCATATGGTATCTGTCAAGGTAACGTGAATTCATATCTGGCTGGAAATAGAGAAATTCGCCTTCTCTCCCCTTTAACCCCTTTCATATCCTTCCCTGATAGGGCGGTCGAGTTCGCTCCGTGCCAAATTAAATAGAGTAGTTTTCAGCAGTTTCAATTTAGTTCGCCCAAAAAGTCGTTCAATGACAGACAAGCGAATCACTCTACAGCAATTAAAGTGTTCCAAAAAGCTTTTTTTATGCATGTAAACAACGTTTTAACACAAACTAGAGTAGAGTAGTATTAAAGCAACTTTATAAAAAAAGCTTCCCAAGGTCACGTATTTATAGTTTCGTTTGAATGGGAAAAGAATTATTCGAGTCTGTTTTTCGCGAGCGGACCCATCTCAGCTGTCTGCACTGTTGGTTCCCTGCAAAGCCATATAATCTTGATAAATGAAGTATTTTAAGTATAGGAAATTCACTTTTGGAATGCAGTCTTAGTATATTGTCCTACTGCTTGACTTAATTGACTTTGAACTTCGTGAATAATATAAAAAACGTGCTTGATAATGAAAACAAGAGCTCCTTTTGTCTTTCATACGTTTATCTTAATTGCGAAATACGTTGCATGCCTTGTATGCAAAACAGTTCGAGGAAGTTGGCAAGCTCTGTTTTGTATTTGCGTACATTCGACTCGATAATGCCGCTAATTACCTGTATCTTTCAAACTATTCTCGTTAGTTGAGCGCTTTAGCCCACACTGTGTCAGAAAACGATATTTTCACAAGCAGACATTCCATTTTTGGCAAAACCGGATGTCTCGCTGTTTACAATTATTCTTAATAAGGTCTTATCTGCCTAATTACATACGACCTCTGATTGGCTGCGACATCATTATAAGCCGCGTTGTCAAGGCGACCGTTCCAATCACTAATTATATCTTGCCACGAATATGAATAATTATTTTCCCTTGTGGCGAAACGAAACTATCGCAAATTAATACATTCGTTTACATATTTCGTGCTTTTACTTCCAGAAATCAAAACTAAAGACGTTTTTCTCTGAATTTTGGCTTCAGTTACAAGTTGGCGAAAGCAAACAGGGTAGCAGCAGCTCCGATTATAAACGAGCGGTCTTAGTACGTATGCAAATTTGTTTAATTTATGTTTTTTCTTAATCAGCGTGTCTCGTTAAAGTCGGAGCGGTTGATTGGCTATAGTTCAGTGTTTCTCGCTCAAAAACTCTTCAAGAAGCTGCTTTTGTTCTTATAGAAGATTCGCGTTGTTTTATTAAGGTAAGTTCTCGACTCAAACGCGTCCAGGCACGAAAATTTGGAGTCTAAATTCTCCTTAATGATGCGTTAATCAAGCGACTTTTGAAATGTTCGTTCGTATGCATAGTCAATTTCTCATTATTTCATACTTGTCTGCGGTAAGCATCCCTTATCGTAATTTTGCTTGCTTCGTTATAAAGTTGCTGTAACCTTTACTGCTATGCTTTATTTTGTTTATAATGCAAGTTAACGAAGTTTATTAATACGGTGTTAAAGAGCCTTCGTGTTCGAATTTTAAGCCGTCGAAGCCCGCATGTAATTTAATAGTCGTTTGAATTTAATGAAGGCAGATTACGGCTTAAGTGAATAAGCAAACTAGCGAACCCAAGTAGTCATAATGTACCTTAAAAATTTGGCAAAAACAAGATTTGTGTATTGTATCAGTACAAATAATTTGCTTGTTTAAGGAAGCAACAATGTTGTATTTCTTGGTTAATTAGCGATGGAAACCTAAATATATTTTTAATGATTCGTTCTTGCTGCGCTTGTATATTAAATGATACATATTATATAGTAACAATATATATATATGGTTTTGTTGAATTTCGAAGTACTATCATGAAAGAATATAGTTCAGAACAGCATTTGTGACAATTAAGGGCTCAAATTAATTTCATGTGAAAGGCAGGCACACGGCAGCTGACTTATTAAGCCCCCGCGTGAATAGAGCGAGTTTCCGTGACAGGTTTGAATTGCCACTTGAGTTCGTCGCGCTATAATCCTATATGCTTGCAGTTGGCAGCTTTTGCTAAGAAATACACATGTTACATAACTATTAATTTATCTCTGTACGTTATGCTCTCGTTATGGCTGATGTTGAAAAGCTGGCTTTATATCTAGAAAATTATTTATAGCTTTAAAAAATTCGTCACAAGGAAAGCTTTATCTCTAATCCGGCGTGGGTTGTACGTGTTTCACATAAAACTACACTGATAAAACGAAACATATTCCGAACAATAACATCTTGGAAAGTCAAAATCTGAGTCAAAACAAGAAAAAACATATAGATTTAATTCAACAAATTAATCTGTTTTGCGTGATGTTTTGACTTGAATGTTGCCTGATTGTGATTGCGAAAGACCATGATATATTGTTATCGGCTAGCACGGCTTCCTTTGTTATAGCGCTTTTATAAAACAGAAGTAACTACAGTACCATGTTATACGGAAATGTACTTCCCAGACAATAAAAGATACAAGTGTGGGTCTCCGGCCGCAAAATCTAAAAAGCTTTCTCCGAAAACAGGGACGCCGGAAACGATGTGAAGGCAAGGGGGGCAGATTTTCGTGAAAGGGCACTTTTGAATTGATATTTTCTAAGAGATGTTTGCAAAACATCGGGAGTTGAACTTCGCCTAATCATGTTTTCTATTTATTGGATGATAGGAGTGTGAGGGGGTTCTCCGCCAGGCGATTGTGCTATTCTTGAAGCTCGATGACTGCATTTCTTGCGTTTTTTTTGTTTTGCGTTTTTTTTCTGAAGCAAATTCGTAAACGAATTGCACTGACTATTCGCTACAATTCGCTAATTGCACTGACAATTTCTGACAATTCGCTATTTCGCCAAGGCTATCCTTTAAATTGAAAGGGCACCTTTGCCCCCCTTGCCCCTCCTGGTAAAGGGCAACGGGGGCGGCTGCCCCTCCTGCAAACCCCCCCCCACCCGAGTTGCGGCGTCCCTGCTGTAGAGTGTAGGTCACGTGGTTAATTAGCGGCGAGGACGCACATTTTGCAGGTTTCTGAAATTGGCTCTGCGGAGAACAGCGAGAAATATCGAATCACAATTTATAAGCGCAGACATTTTAAACAACATTTTTCGTGCCTGAAATTGCGTCGCAAGTTGCAGCAGATACTGTTGCATGTAACATTCCCTGTTCAAAATTATATAATATATTCAAGCTATAGATGAGTCAATTACTGTAAAATAGGGATTCTTATTCACCCAAAACCATAATGTGAAGCTTTAGAATAAGGTATATAAAATATTTGATGTCTGCGTAATTCGGTTTGCTGGTTTCCGAACATTTTTTTCTGGAAGACAAAAACATGCATCTTGCTATATTTAAATAGGGTAGCAAGTCTCCCATGACTTCTGCGGTAACTCGCGTACTTGTATACCGGAGATACGCCAATATTGCTGTATTTCAGTCACGTACCTAGCCCGCTGTGTACAGACTGTATTATGTTGTAATAATACACATTCTGTACACAAGCTACCACGTACCATGAAGTTTGAACTTCGTCACTTCGATCTTAAAATTGGCCTGAAGTGTATAGACCCTTCAGTACGTCAATTGGCTATGGAGCCTCGCTTTCGTGTATGTGATATCAGTGAAAGACCAACATCTCAATCATGAAAACGAGGCCTTGTAGCCAAGGTAACTGGTACTTTCCGGAGGGGTGTATTACTGTAAGACCTTTTCTGTCATGACGTCCTATCCCAAAACATTTTGATATTTTTGAAGCTCTAGGACTAGGCCTGCATTTACAGCGTTTTGTGAATTGAACCGCAAACGAATTGTGTTCAAATTGTATTTGTGCACAAAAATTTTTTTGTACCAAATTTCAGTTCTGTAGAGCTTTGCAAAGACGGAACAGATGTTTTCATTTAACTTAATGTTTTATTTTAGTTATCAATTTACAAAATATAACGATTTTATTACCCACATTTTATCTGAAAATTCCACATTTTATCTGAAAATGTCAATATTTTACCCTGTATTTCTCCTGACTTTTTTTGAGGGGGGGGTCTTTGCCCCGAGGGAAATATCAGTCCGGGTAATAACATTACACCCTGCTTATGACGTCACGCACATCCGAGTTGAGAATATAAAACGTGCCACATACCTTCGTGAATATGTTTTATTTTTTATTAACGCAAGTATTTGTCAAGTTTATTTCGAATCACATATCGTTTGGAATATTGATGATAACATTTTTCAAAATCTGCATCCTAATTTAAAAAAATAGCTTTCTTTGAAGTTTGAAAGTTCAAGAATCCATCACTTTAAAGCCTGGTTCACACTAGCAATTTTGTCGGCGATTTGTGTTCCTGACGGATGCAAATGAGTGAACTCGCACACAAAAGTATAGAGTCACTTTTCTAAAGTAAACAATTCTAAGTCTTTTGCATGTCATTCATTCGATCACATTCGCCAGGAGGAGAAAATTCACCGACAAAATCGCTAGTGTGAAAAGTCGACCATCTTGTTTGCGTGATCGCCGCGCGTGGTTTACGCGAATCATATCACCCCGGTCACAGAATAAAGACATACAGAAATAGCTGGCGGCCATGTTCTTAGCAAGAGCCCTAAAGAGAGGCATTCACCCCCTGGAATATTAAATTTTCAATATGTTTTCAGGGGGGTGACTGCCTCTCTTTCTTTAGGGCACTTGCTAAGAACATGGCGGACTGAAAAAATCCCTTACGCACTTTTAATAAGAAGATACACTTCTGTATGTCTTTATTCTGTGCCCCGGTGATATGATCAAATCACCTGCTACGTCAAATACGATGACCTAAACTTACGCCTGGTATTCTAAAACCTTATAACTCACACTCGAAGAGTGGAGGTTAAATCTGAGTTTCCCTTGAGTGTCCATGCTGTTTTTCAATAGCTGGAGTGTGAGTAGTCAGATAGTTAGGTACGACACAGTTATTCAAAAACAGCATTGATACTCAAGGGAAGCTCAGATTGAACCTCCACTCTTTGGAGTGTGAGTGAGCTTTTAGAATACAGGCGTTAGCTTTTTGATTGGACACTTTGAATTTGAGTTCTAACATTAATTTGTATCTTGAGTAGTTCTCGGGTCAATCAAATGCTATATTTTTATTTCTGTCTATTTTAAGCTATGTATAAGCTTTGCACTGATATTATTTGTTAGTTTTCAAACGTCCACCCCGGTTGTAACGTCGTTTAATTAGATCTAATTATAAAACAAAATGGCGGATGGCAGGATGTTTTGGAAAAGTGAAGATAATTTGGGAAAATTTGTCACGAGGATTTGTAAAAAATCTCGACATTCTTTCAAATTAGGGTTGCCATAATTTTGGTAGCCATTTTCATTTAAAAACATGTCCTTCCATTTTTCCAGGATTAATTTCCAAACCATGGAATTGCAAGTGTGTCAGTATGAGCCACCGACAATGGTGGACAGACCAATAAAGATTGAGAGAGAGGAAGATGATGACTCGTGTGAAAACAGCGAGACAGAAATCCCATGCGTTTCAACAGTTCCTCTCCCAGCTGATAAAAACACTGGTTCTTATTATTACCCATCGCAAGCAGTGGTTGCACCTAGAACACCCATGTATACAACCGTGGGTAAAATGGCTCAAAAACGAAAGACGGTCCAGGCCCTTGTGCAAGTAAGTTTTGAAGAAACTGTATTCACAGTGGTATGCGTTGTCACTTCTAAACTGTTTTCTCTAGAGGTTCACTACAGGCCAATCCCTTACATTATTGCTCCAGTGTTACTACGGGAGCAAACTGTCCTGCCCTGAGAAATCTGTGATGGATATTCTTTTTACATTCGAAATACTGAGGATTTTCGGAACACGAATAGAATGGAACGGAACACAACCACATGACTGTTCTGAACTAGAACACCGGAATTGACGTAAAAATATATGCCGTCAAATGCTTATGAGGGCCACAAGTTCATTAGTACTTCGTACTATTAAGTGTCACCCTCTTTAAATAAAGTCTCTATCTATCTATCTATCTATCCATCAAACTCTTTCTCTAACATCTTCGATTCCTAGTTTTCCCATAACAATTTCCCAAGTATTTAACCTTGCAGTCCTTGCTGCAGCTGTGTTTCACGTCTGTTTACTGTATTAAGGAATTTTTCTTCTTTTCGTGTTAATTCATTCTGTTTTACTTTCATTCACTTTCAGTGCAGATTATTCCATTGCCTATTCTCACATCACTATTATTCTTCGCAGCAGACACAACTCCTCAGTCGTCTTCCGGATCATCCACGTCGAGGGGGTCTCCCATGTTTCTTCTCAATTTCATTTATAATAATTAAAGACAAATTGACATTTCAGGCAGCACTGATGACTGCTGATGAACCCATCTTATTTGAAGAAACAATCTGGTGTAACAATGCGAAAATTGTCTTGATTGGTAAGCCTTATAAATGGATACTTCTCGAGTTTGCTTGAGGCTGAGAATATTGTCCAATTTAGTCATTGTCAGCATCGACCTCGTACCATTGTCTCGTGTACGGTTCTTGGTCAGTTTTTGTGAATGTCAATTTTAACCATAGTCTATCCATCCTCGTTCCCAGGGTTTCTGCAGGCAGCCGAGAAGCCTTGGGAACGAGGATGTAGTCTATCAAGATTCGAAGGTCTGGAAACTAAACAGAAGTCATTGTGTTATGTTTTTTCGAGTTTATATTAATTTGTGCACGGTCACGGTGATTGAGCTCATTGTATTTTCGCATAATGAAGTAATCGTCCAATAGAGATAGCTGAGATGAAATATTTAATATTTGATGAAATGGGACATTGGATTTGTGCACGGTGAGCTTCAGCTCAACATCAAACAAAGGTCTTCTACTTTGCAGCTTTGAAGTTTGCCGGGCTTCCAAACCATCATATCTTGATGGATCATGCTTCAACCAATACTTGGCTACTATAAAGTATAATTTATTTTATTCATGACTTGTTAGATACGAAAACAAAGCAAGTAATAGCTCGAGAACATCTGAGAAAGGACAACAGTGCCACCACGGCACCACAAGCTAGCAAGACGACTGACTCCACTACAACAGGTAAAATTCGCTTCCAGGTCGCGGTGTTCTTACAAGTAAAACCGTAGTTTCTCGTAGACACGGTAAATTATTAAAATTTGTTTCGAGGTTGTCGGCAACATAGAGGAGAAAGTTGTCATCATGTTCAACTTGTCATTTCATATCAACTTAATAATATATCTTGCAACAATCTCAACCCTTCTAACTTGTCATTTCATATCAACTTAGTAATATATCTTGCAACAGTCTCAACCCTTCTGAGGACTCTAGGTTTAATCTCTGATGGGTTCGAGTAACCAAAGCCTTGTTTTTATTTCCATTTTTAGTTGGCGGAACAAGAGATACTCCTGGTCAACCAACTGGAATCTCAAAACCCTACTCCGAACGTCACAAGACAGGTAGCACAACGACACAGTCCGAAACCGGAGAAACCAGTTTGTCAACTTCAAACACTATTACGTCATCTTCATCAAGTCTCAGTACCTCGACCTTTCCCGCCATTAGCACAAGTACTGCGAGCATCTCGTCAGCGGTTGCTACCACCGCACTCCCCACTCGACCCGCACAAAGCCATCCCGCAAGGCTTGAAACACCCTCTACGACAACTGCCACTAGACCGAGAACATCACTGCTAAACAGCCTTCCTTCGGAAAGAGCGTTAGCAGAACCATCTAAAAGCTTACCAGAAAAGCCCGCGTCAAAACCGACCACATATAAGCCACTTGCAGTGGCTCCATCGGCTTCAATCCGCCCTGAGCCTAACTCAAAAATGGCCATTTGTTTACCAAACAAGGCTTCAAAGACTGAAAGCTCTAAAGTTCGGGCAGTGTATGTACCCAGAGAAATCAATTTGGGGGCAACGGAACTAAGACTTGAGGATTGTATTAATGTTAAGGATATTTGCGATAAGGAATTGACAAAATGGACTGCCGAAGATGTTGCGAAGTTCGTACGAGCGACGGATTGTTCCGAGTATGCCCATGTGTTTGTTGATCAAGTAAGTACTAGTCACTGTGCTTAATGCATGTCTGGAGTGATGCTAGGAAGGTGAGAAAACCAGGAAATGAATCTTTCAATACTGGCTGTAACTTCTCCACACATACAGATTGAGAATGAATCAGTGAATAAGTAAGGGTGTGGTAATCATCCTTACTTGAAGCTGAGAGCTCAATTACGAAGGACGCAGCTCAACCTCATTGAATCGAAGGCTTTCCAAGGGCGCCAGCCACCTTATGACTCGTGTCTGATCATCGAGCATAGCTACGGTGAGGGAGTCAGTCTGGGGCTTACCCCCAACCCACCCTGTCAACATTCCCTTCGGTAGAGCGTTGACTGACTCTTTTCTGTCCGCAGCGAGAATCGAAGCTACGATTTCAGAGGTGAACAGCGCTGCTCTGAAGACTGCGCCACCAAAGCCCAGCCCCCCCCCCGCCCTTGAAACTTGAGAAAATAGTGCTTTGCTTGCAAGAATCCAGGAAAGGAAAATTTGTGTCTGCAACAAATCTCTTGAAGCTAGATAAACAGGGAAACATGTGATGATTACATTTTACTGTTTTCCAAAAATTAAAAATCATCTTAATTTAATTTCCCGTTTCCCAAGAGCTTACTAATTCTCGATTGTATCTTCTTAGGAAATCGATGGCAAAGCTCTGACATTGCTCAACCAAGACTTTCTAATCCAATGGATGAAGTTAAAACTTGGACCTGCCATGAAATTAAACTGTCACATTATAAATCTCAAACATTCGCTAAACAGTAGTTAACTTCAAACGTATTTGTACATATAGTGGGTCCAACTGGTGCCTCGGAGCGCTGCGTCCCTATCATCGTGTAAATATTGTTCATATTGTTTATATTCTGTTCGACTTACCGAACTCATATGAGGTGGCAAGTGTTGCAGCCACAAAAATTTTAGTAAAAATGTAAAATAGTCTTTCGTTTAAATACCCCTCTGTTTCAGACCTGCTTTCTGCACGGGCGTAGAATGGAACGGGAAAAGGTCCTGAATTAGAAAAACGTGTAAAATTCTTCAGCAACGAGAACAAATTCCTGGGAGGAAAGTCTAAACCGTCCAGGTTTCGAGCAGCTAAAAACTCACCAGAAAGGCGAGTATCAGGTCTGGCTTCACCAGGTCTGTTACGGAGAGTTATTTTAAAATCGGTATAGGAGCAATTCTCTGTATTTTATAGACCTGTATACATTTAGCCTAGACCAAATTAGGTCTTCTATTTATATTTCAGCGCTTTTTCACGAGTAAAGGCCCTAGGTCTTGTTGTCAACAAAGACAACAAGTTTGGAACAAGCTGTTAACAACTTGAAACAACCTTGTTGATATTATCAGAATTGTTGCAAGGTTGTTCCAACAAGTCGGATACAGTCATGGTATAACAATATTGTTACAACCTTGTGTCGTCAACCTTGTAACATTCTTGTTATATCATGACTGTATCTGACTTGTTGGAACAAGCTTGTAACAAGCTTGATAATGCCATCATCCTTCTAACAAATTGTCAACAGCTTGTTACATACTTGTTACAACAACTGGGAACAAGCAGTGCGAACACAACTTGTTGACAGCTCGTGAACAGATTTGTAACAACTTTGTTTGCAAACTTGTGATAACTTGTGCGTTTTTACGTGTGTACTTGTTCCCAGTTGTTGCAACAAGTTTGGAACAAACTGTTGAAAACTTGTAACAAACTTGACGACATTAGATTTGTTACAAGGCTAGGTTGTTCTAACAAGTCATGATATAACAAGAATGTTACAAGGTTGACGACACAAGGTTGTAACAATATTGTTAGATCACAACTGTATCTGGCTTGTTGGAACAACCTTGCAACAAGTCTGATAATATCAACAAGGTTGTTATACAACTGTTAACAAGTTGTTCCAAACTTGTTGACAACTTGGGACAAGCAGGTCGAACACAACTTAGTGTTGACGGTAGCCTCCTCCGCAGAGACAGCTTGTTGGCAGACTTGCTACAAGATGACCCCACGCTACATGTGGCTTCAACATTGTTTAGTTCTTTGCTCCCCCCCTGTAATAGTGAGAGAGCACGATATTTTTGCCCGGGTTTGATTGGGGAAACCGGGGAGGGGGACGGAATCATCAAAAATTGCGGGAACACTGAGAATTTCAAACTGTAAACATTTTGAAAAGTGTTTATTCGACGTTTCGAAAAAACACTAATGACTATAAAGCAATAATGGAAAAGGAGCGAAAATTTTACTTTGCAGGAAGTATTCGAGGTGGCAGAGAAGACGTGGAATTGTATCGAAAATTAATCGATTACATTCAAACGTTTGGTAAAGTCCTAACCGAGCACATTGCCTTGGACAGCTTGAAACCTTCAGGTATAATTTCAATTCGCATGAAAAGCCCAAGGCAGTCTAAGGAAACAGAAAGATTGAATAAACATCATTACTAGGAAATGTTTGTCATTCTGTCTGAAACATTTGCCTGTGGAGTAAGTTACTTCAATAAGAGTATTAACATATTTTAGAATTGGCCAGCCAGTTGGCAGTTGCAACAAATACTGGCTGAAAACATACACCTACAACTTGAATGTTACAATTACGTTCAATGTTACAATTAATACATTCAACAAAACTAGGAAAAGTTGAAACCAGTGTTGGCAAGACAACATGTAACATGGTTTTTCATTTTTGGGAAAGATGTTTGCTCTTGAAAAGGAAATGTTGATTCTGCAAAGTGGGTAGGCGATGGGAGGAATGTATGAATTGAGCAATGTATAGGGGAGGGGGTACTATCTTGGAGGGAAACCAGAGGGAAATTTTGGGAGAATTGGCCCTCTAGCCCCCCCCCCCCAGTTTCTATGCCTTGGCAAACAGGGACCATAAAATGTTTCCACAACAATATTTCCCAGTTTGCCCGCTGAACTTCCACTTTGCAGAATACAAAGTATGGCAGCATCTTTATATTTTACATGCATGCGGAAAGGTCTTTCTAGCGTTGCATGTCGCTGTTTCTCTGTTGCAACAAGGCCAGGGGGTGCGGCAAAGATTTATTTTGCAGCGAGCATTCGTGCTGGACGAGAAGATCCAAAGATTTACAAAGAATTAATTGAATATATTAAAGTTCATGTTGAAGTGTTGTCTGAGAGTGAGCAACTGGGACCAAACATTGAACAGGAAGCCAAGGGTATCTCACTGGCAGTTTATATTTGATTGGAGCAATGACAAATTTACACTAGAGAATAATGATATACCAAGGGATATTAACCCTTTAAGTGGCAATGCACCCTGATACACCCTACTTTATTATTTTACTCTGTCTAATGGCCAGGGGCCAGTTGTATAAAAAAGTTATTAAAGTTAACTATAGTTAGTGGAAACGTCATCCAATAAGAAGCGCGTATTTGAGAGTTAATCACTATTTAACTACAAAATAGTGATTAAAAAAGTGATAAGAGTTTTATACAACCGGCCCCAGGGGTGAAACTACTGGGGGGTAGTTACATCCCTGCCAACGAAAGCTTGTTAACTTGGAAGGGTCTATTGGTTTGACATTATACAACTTTAATTTACACAAGCATGAGCCGGGATATTTATTGTGTTTTTTACTAGGAGAAATTAATAAAGGTGACAAATTTATACATGACAGGGATATGGCATGGCTGGATGAAAGTGATGGTAAGCAGTTATTACAGTGTTGATATTTAATCCCTTAAGCTGCATTATGGCCTGCTTTCATATATTTCACCCTATCTAGGTTTCATGACTCGTTAACTAATCTGGGGGGGGGGGGGCTTGTGAATGTTAAGAGTTACTGTAATGATTATTATGAACTAAGCAGACCTCCCAACTCTATGCATATAGCAAGCCTGTCTAAACCAGGCCCAATTCAGGACTAATGTATTGAACCTTGATGCTATATCCTGACTATTTTACTTGCCAGACAGACTTAACAAAGAAAATCTCTATAATTATTTAGCAATAATTGCCGAAGTAACACAACCATCATTGGGAGTGGGATATGAAATTGGCCGAGCAATTGAACGAGGAAAAACGATTTTGTGTCTGTTTAGACCTGAGTCTGGGAGAGGTTAGTTTATGAAATGAATCCATTCAGATCAAATTGAAATGAAAGACAGATAAAATGAAACTAGTAAATTGATAATATTAATTTCAAAATTGTGTAGTTCTGTCAGCCATGATTCGTGGAGCTGTTGGAGAAAACCTTCGGGTCATGGATTATCAAGGTGAAGAGGAAGCCAAAAAAATAATCCGAGGTTTTCTCGATGCAAATAACTTAATATGAGCGGAATGTGTGGAGACAAACACCTTCTCAGAATCATACACAATTAGTTTTATCATTCGTAAAACCTCTATAGCAACACTGAAAAATATGCTGGATATTTACCGGATAGTACTGGAATTTTTATTATAACCACCGATATTGTGAAACAGAATCTACCGGACCTGTGATACATGAAAACGAACTGCTCTCTGCTGTATATTGTCTGACGATCCTTGTGCCACATACTAAACAGACAATGGACTATTTTATGACAAAGAGTTACTGACGTATTGTCCAAGTACCACCATCAGTATCCAGTTATTATCTGGTAGACTATTATCCGGTACCATCCAGTATCCAGAAAAGCAATATCCAGCACATCCCTACTAAGTTTTAAATTTTTTTTAAATTAGCCATGCCATGTCATTAATATTAACTACGTAATTTGTAATAAAACTAGTATTTTTGGGCTAGGAGTCCATAGAATATATAGGCTCTTTGATTTAGACCCCTAGTTTGATGTCTTTGTACCATTGGTTATAAGTATCATCGGTACTAATGACATAAAGTGAATATGTACTACGTGCAATCAAGGTTATTCCATATGTCCACTCCTTTCGCTGAAAACTTGCGCTGCAAACTGTATATGCAAAATTTGAAATAATTCCGAAAACGCCCAAGAAAGTCAAGAAAGCCAAATGCGGCACAGGTTTCGCTGTTTTAGGGGGCCGTTTTCTGAGACCACGTGAACCTACTAGCAGTCATAACGAGTGGGTTTCATATTTCCTGTTATAGCGGAATTCGACACTTCTTAATTAATTATTTATTTTCCTTTTGCAATTAAAATATCATTAACATAACGCGCGCGTCTGAGTGTTAAAAACACGTTTTCAAATTATATCAGGTGTATAATAATCCTTATAGCGAATTGGGCCAACGTTTGAATCTACATGTAGTCCAAGATTGCTTTGCTTTGTTGATCTCCTGTGTGCAGACAGTTTCGAGTCGTCAAAATACGATCGATGGTAAGAGGTTATATTGTTTCCGCTGTACATATTCGTCTAGCGATTGTATCTTTATTACTGTAAACACTAAAACAGTAAATTATCTGTTGTTCATTCCAAAAGACAAATAGAATGATATATTTTATGCTCTTAAATATTGTTGAGTTTCGGTTCTGATACGTTTAAGAGTCCCAAGATAAAGTTAATTCGCTTAATTTACGCTTCACTTCCTAGTCGTTTGGTTTGGAAAGTTTAAATATGTACAGTTTGATTCAACTTAGATTTAATTACCAGACTTCTACGTACGATATCTCTCAACTTAAAAATTCAAAGAGACTTCGCTCAAAACATCACCGAACTTTATTGACAGTGTATTTTTACAGCTTATTTCAAACCTTATAAAAGCCATTTTGAATTAAATATGATACACAGGTTCATTGTTTGCGTTGATAAACGAGGCACAATTATAGCCAAGTGTTCCGAACTATACTATACCTTGTGTGTATTATCGCTTCTCGAGCGAACCAATATTTAACGAGAAGTTTAATTTAAGCGAAAGTTGGCTTTAAGGAGATTTATTACCATAAATTGCCATAAATTATTCAGGACAGCGATACGGCGAGTGCCTTCGTCTTTTGACAGGAATTATTAATGACGTAATATTAAAATTCACTTGCACAAAATGTATTTTATTGGCAATGGCATTGCCTTGCTGCACAGCGAGTATATAAACATAGACCTCTTCAATATTTACATACATAAAGTGCGGTGAAGACGTACTTTGGGAGGTTTTTAAGCGACTATTTTCATAAATGAAGCAAACTCTTTAAACTAAACAAAAGTCCACATAGAGTCATAGTTCACATAAGTTACTACTTCGGACAAAAAAAATTATTTAGTTTATTTGCTCTGCTGGCTTCGTCGCGGGACTCGCTCGTTGTTTATGTAAGTCAAAGGTCAGTGAACTTCCCTGTTGATGTTGGCAAACGAGAAAGTAATGGCTGGCCAAGGCTGCTTTTATTGACGAAAGTAAAAGCTTATATATTATGAGAGATAACTGTATTGAAATGAATGTACAAGAAAGTTTTTTTTAATTGAAGGATGAAAAATTCACTCTGTTGCCATTTGCCAGGCTCTTTCTATAGGGACAAGTTAATCTAGTATTAATCCAATCAAATTCAATTTTTTAACTCTGTCGAGATGGAACTTACTCGTTCTAAAGGCAAGAAATATATGCACCATAATGTTGAAAAGCTAACTAAAATGCAGTGTGTAATGACAAATGTTTTATCCTTCGTATGGTGAAGCAAAAAAAGTTGAACAGAAATTCTATTACATATAGACATATCTATATATCATATTCTACAGACAAATCTGTTTTACTAATTGAGGCTCGCGGTCTGCTTGAAACGACGCATTCCCCCCATTGCTTTTCACAGTCGTGGATATATGTACAAGGTCATTGAACTTTAAATCCTAGACAACGATGCAATGCTATTTTTAAACAGGACCGCACGCATTCTACGAATTTGGCCTAATAGATTTTGGCAGTTCAGTGAAATATGTTGCCCGAGCGTTGAATATTATTTCTGTTGTTTTTGTATTGAATAATATTTATGTTGATATTGCGGTTGGTTTGAGGTGGCGCGCGTGATATATATATTTGCAGATGTGTTGATAGGTGTTTCGCGCAATCTAAGTTAATTACAATTTGCGCTTGCTTGTTGAATTATGTACGGTCACGTAGCATTGAACTAAAACATTAAAATTCGTGAATTGGGAATAAAATTATTTCAAATCACGATAAAATATCTAATCAGTCCGTCTTTCAATTCTTAATTAGTTCCTGCCTTGAAAAAATTCGTGGTAGATTTCCAAAATTTTTTTGTTAGATTCTCGTTGATACCCGTTATCCATGTGAAAAGGGCGGCAGTTTTTATTGCCAAAACTGGGTTTATTCGAGAACTCTGGTATCGTGCATCAGGGAGTGTTGACAGAGTTAGGATATATGAATTTTTCTTGAAAGCAAGCGACTTCATTTTCGCGGTAACTAAATTTTGAAATCATTATTTGATCAGCTTTTATCAAAATGCAAATGACTTGCATAATTACATAGTCAGTACAAAGAACTAATTTACATACATAGACAACAAATACAATACATGCTTTTACGGTTCAATTCAACAGTTTCAATCGTTCGAGGTTCCTTTCTTCCTTGGCTATAGCGAAAATGTCGAGCAAAGTAACTTGAGTTAACCTCACCTAGGACCAACGGAACTTTCAGTACAGCCTTGGGGGATATACTTAGTCGAATTAAAATTCTGATCACAAAGTTGAATACGGTGAGTCTAGCTTTGGTTCATAGTTTATTGCGGTCGTTCTCTTTCAAATGTCGAATTATGCTTACCATTGTCAATGAAGCGAGATTCGATGAACAACTGATTGCGATCATCTAAACTCTCGGCGTCTCAAAACACATACGTGAAGAGAATTTCAACGAAATGCAGGTATAAATTACTAATCAATTCACAGTTGCTTCATTTATTGTTATTATATTCATTGTCTCTGCCAAATACCAATGGGCCAGCAGAGATCGTAGTTTAACTGCATGTTATCAATTCGATTCATTTATTATTGTGCGCATCAAATGGGGATTAACTATGATTGCAGTTGAATCATACATGTAGCTCAGCCCCCAGTTACACGATACCGGATTCGCATCGGAGCGACATCAAATTTTACCGCTTCCAGGTGAATTTGGCACTTAAAATTATGATAATATAACATAATTAAACAAAAACTTCAAATATGAAAAGTTGTAAGAGCAAAAGAGGAAAACACCTTAAATTGATGTCGCTCCGACACGAATTCGGTATCGTGTAACTGGGGCCTCAGTCTAAAATATTTAAATTATGCATATTAAAGTGTTGAACTTGTCCAATATATTATTTGTCGCGAGGAAGTAATCATAGAGTACACGCGTCAAAGTTTTTCGCCAATTGTCTACAACATGTGTTCGAACTGCTTGTTCCCGTTGTTGAGTGTTGACAAGTCTGGAACAAGTTGTTATCATCTTGTAACAAGGTTTATGAGACAACAGACTCGCAACAAGTTGTTCCAACAAGTCTGATATCGTCTGCCCATAACAAGTTGTTAAATATAGCAACTTGTTACGCGAGCAGCCTGTATTAGTCATGTTGGAAGAACTTGTATAGGAAGTCTGTTACCGTCATCAACCTTGTAACAAGATGATAACAACTTGTTCCAGACTTGTCACAACAGCTGCGAACATATCCTGATATCAGCATCCGTATATCAGCTTGACAACAATAGATATGTAACAACTTGCACGTTTTTATGTGTGCAGTAATACACTAAACAACTGCCCCCCAAAAATTTTATAGCGTGTGCATGTCATTCTCGTTTTTAGATGGAAAATTTATGTACACACTATTGCAGACTTGGCTGCATAAACTGTAAAGCGTACTGTGGGTGATGGTATCTTTACGTGTCGTCTACCAACTGATCCTTATTGTTTGGTTTGGATCTCTTATATTCATCTTTTCTCATATTACGGATTTAGGTAAGACTCATGAATGTTTTGCAGAATGAAAATTGATGTATATAGTTTGATATATATAGATACATGGCAGGGAATGTGTCGTAGGTTAAGGGGGTTCAATAGATTATGATAATAAGAAAACTGATGCAAACAACTGCCAAAGCCTCAATATTATCACTAAGTACTTTGTTAACTTGTGAAATCTTTGTAAACATGCACTTTCTAAGATGGAAAAGTTTGATCTAATTCCGTCAAGCAGTATATAAGTGAGATCAATAGGTGAGGCCCTTACCCATTATTAGAATCTCGGAAACGTACATCTGGGTGCGTTTATATATTTTAGTCCCGAAAACTTCTTGAAAATTCCTGGAATTTCAAAGTGATTACCTAATGTAATTACCAGACCGTTAATTAACGTTCGACGATTTGAGCGAAGGCCCTTCGTTATTATCTTTTCAACTTATTTTAGGCTATCCTGAACCAGTACCAATTGCAACGGAATACGTTAACCAAAATTTGTATCTACCAATTACGGAGAAAAGTAAGCTAATAGTTATTGTTTTCTATGTTTCCTTATTCAAATGTACATTGCATCTGTTGCAGAGAGGGGGGACTTTCATTCCAGTCCACCACTTTTGTTTGCAGATGAGAAAATAAACCTGCTTTGTGTTTCAGGTAATATTCATTCGGAATTAACTACAAATGACGTTGGGACAAACTCGGATGAGTTGACAAGTTCAGAGGAAATTCCTGTCGAAACTTTGCAATGTCCGTTACCTGAACCGAGCCGTGCTTATCCCTTTTGTCAAGAAAACGTAGTGGTAAGATTTCTCGGTTTCGTGGCAAGAACAGTCCAACAACAAATTCCCTAAAGACAGAATCCCTACTGACAAGATCTCGGCAACAACACCAAAAAAATAAACGAATTCCTTTCCATTTATCATCATTCTCTATAAGATCATTTTCTGTAAGATCATTCTCTATAAGATCTCTATCATCATTCTCGATAAGATCATCTTTCACGAACACTCATTAGTGACTATCTTCATAGAAATGTATTGGCTTTGATTTTGCGGAATGCATTTGCGAGTCATGCAAGTATTCTTTTTTGTTCCTGCACTTTGAAAGGTTCTCCGATCATTATATTTCTTCAGCCTCAGGATTTGAATACGGGAGTTTTTTTGGCTGCATGAATTCAATAATTTGTGTTAAACTTTCCTCGACTGTTCTCGTGTTTGACCCCTCTCACAGTTAAAGTGCAAAAGGCTTTCTTAGCGTACGTTCGGAACACTGGTTAACTGTATTGGCCAATCTGCATGGGGTTGAAAAAAATGGAATTATAAATTGATTTCATCTTTTGTGTTTGCAGAAACTCTGGGACCACGGTCATCAACCTTGTTACAAGAAATTTGGTGTGGATAAATCTGATGACTGCTCTGTTCTCAAATATTTAAGTGAGGTATAAGCCTGCAACCCGTGCCTGTAATCGCATATAGAGATTATAATTATGATTTCGGGCATTTTTTTAATAATTTGCTGTTGTGAAGAAACTGGATCAAACTGTATATCAAAATATTCTGTAAGCTTTTATAAAGAACTTTTAGCAACTTAATATATATTTCAGTTTATATTTCGTATATATTTCGAAATTTAACTTGTATAAATTTGGATTTACTGAGTGACTAAAATTTGTCCAGCTCCCCAATACGAATCTTCCGGCGTCAGTACGAAAACCAGAAACCTTTTTTGTGCAGGTAGAACATTGGTGTCCATTGCTGCCAGGGAAGAACAAGATTGTTGATAATAAAGTGAAACCTGTAAAGGTTAGTTTTTTTACCAACGGTGGGTTAACTACAAAATTTATGTAGTTCGCTACAGCTACAGACAGCTATACTTGTCAAAAAATGTAGTCCGTTACTGACTCCAGTTGCTGTTTCACAAATGTAGCGAACTATTCACTACTTCGGTGCGACAAGTAGCCTATCTTGCTATCCAATATATAGCGATGGTTGCTTGAAAAGTAACAAACTACTGAAAAAGTATAGTTCGCTACAGCTACTGTTTTGAAAAAGTAGTCACAAGAACTCGCTACTTGAAAACTGTAATTCGCTAGAGTAGCAAACTTCGCTATTACCCATCCTGCATGTTTTTGTACTGAAAAGAATTATGTTTGTAGAGAAGAATTATACTAGCGACGCGTCAAGAAATCTTTTAATTGTCTTCCATGCATTTTCTTGTCAGGCGAAGCTGCGAACCAATATAAAGGGTCTTTTCAAAATACTAAAACATTCCTATTACAAATGGACAAGAAATCGGCTGTCAAGTTGGTGGTCGGAGTGGGTTGCGGGCGTTGAAGCACTAAAGAAACAACGTAAAGAACGAAATAAGTTAAAGAAAAAGGTGAACATTTTATATTCTGGCCATTTTGCTCGATAATTAAAAAAAATTTGATCGGTTGCATGGCCGTTCGCTTTGCTCGTCAATTTGACCACAAAATGGTCAAGTTCTCCTCGGTCATTCCTCTATATTTCGTCCTTTGCATTTTTTTTTCAGATTTTAGTTTTCCTTGGTTCGTTTGCTGATGTCCCAACGTTCTTTTACGCTGCTTCGTCAGGAGGACCTCTTGGTGAACTGGTTCAATGGACTGACGTGATTGCAAGTATTTATTTACTGGGACATGACGTCACCGTATCTGCTGCCAAGAAAAATATACCACGGTAAGTAAAGTCTCGTTTTTAACCATTGCATCTGGTAACCTAGTGGGGAACGGATTTCCCGGACGGCAGGGATTATTTTAAGGAAATTTTATCACAACCTCGGCTGATACTCCGAACCGGTGAATATATAACAATGGTATCATGCATGCAAAGATAAAACTATTACTAGTGACATTACTCCAGATATTGATGGTCTCTTATCAAATTATGCGTATGTGGCCATGGTTTTATTATATAGTAGAGAGTGAGATACTGAAAAATACACAGTGAGATATTTTCCATATCTTCACTAGTGAAGATATCGATCACGTGACTTTTTCCAATTTGCTTTTGAGCGTGAAATTTTACAATTTTTTTCCTTGATACTATATAATAAACAAAACATTACATGGTGGCTTGAAGATATGACTTTTATCTTCTCCTGTTAAAAACAATATTTTACTCACTCGCTGCGCTCGTTAAATATTGTTTTCACCACTCGAAGATAAAAGTCATATCTTCGCGCCGCCGTGTATAATATCCTCTATATATATATATATACCGGTTTTCGGTATGTATATATAACCATGCATGGCCTGCACTGACAAATACGTGGTCACCATGTATGGTCACAGGTGAAGTAGAGTTATCTATTTTTTTGTTTTTTAGTCTCCTTGGAGGACCAAGTGATGATGGATGCATACCAGAAGAACATGCCCACAGTTCGTCTAGATTTGATATCATCTTTACAGATATCATTGGCGTTGGTCTCATTAAGAATATGACCGGACCATTATATTCTAAATACAAGTAAGTTTCTAAAAACATCTGTTTGAATACGACTTGTAACCAGTTTGAAAAGCAAGTGTCAATTAGACGATGGTTAATTGGTTAATGTACTGATTTGCACGTTATCACGTCAGGAAAAGCAAAGCCGACAGAGAAAAAAGTTGCTTCGCGCTAACAATGGACCATTTGCATTATAGACTAAATTTCGATCTAGACAAGTCCAGACAAAAATTTCATCACAGCTTGAAAGAGCATCACAAAATTAGTAATATTCCAAAGTTTCGTTGCGAAATGTTGTAAAATGCGGATAATATAGCCTTGCGAAGTTTATCGTTTTTCAGTCATTTTGTATTACAAACGGGAAATTGACAGCCCAATCGGGTGTTGGGGCATCAATTTCCCGTTTGTAATACAAAATGACTGAAAATTGCAAATTTCGCAAGGCTATATTATCCGCATTTTACAACATTTCGCAACGAAACTTTGGAATATTACTAATTTTGTGATGCTCGTTCAAGCTGTGATGAAATTTTTGTCTAGACTTGTCTAGATCAAAATTTAGTCTATAATGCAAATGGTCCATTCGTCTGGGTGGAAAACCGGCTTGAGGCCCGTTTACATTTGCAATTTTTGCTGCGATTTCTAGTGCAATTGTCTTCTTCTGATGGATGTGAACGAGTAGATGAATTATGAATGTTCTGAGTGTATGTCCCCTAGCTCATCTGATCTGAACAGTCATAACTCATCCATTCGTTAACATTCATCAGAAGAGGAAAATCGCACCAGAAATCGCAGCAAAAGTTTCAAATGTAAACTAGGCAGTCCCATTGAATCACGCAGGCTAAGTGTAAACGGGCCTTTATAAAGATGTTGTTGTTATAACCACAGATGCCGACTGCGAGTGGTGGATTCGTTTGGTACCAATGCAGAGTTCAACTATCATGGTTATCGGAAACGCATACCAGGTGGTGCGTCATCCTGGGGGAAACTGGATCTAGACTTGAGACAATTTATGACCATGTTTCGTAAGTTTATTAATTAATAAATTATTCCTAGAAGTTACTATCGCAAGGAAAGTGCTGCCACGCCTCCAAAGGATCAAAGGCAGCATGCACAATTTGCTGAATAAGGGGCTGTTTATATCAGGATCCCGCTTTGCCAGGACTAGATGTGATTTGGGATTGTTTTGATGTATATATTATTACTTGTAAGACACCCAAAATAATTCGATTGAATTGTTCCGTTTTCAAACCGCCCCGTAGGTGTGGTATGAACTTAGTCTTACAAATGTATGCATCCAAAAATCGTTTCTTGCGAGTTCACATATTCGCGCTCATTATTTACTTATTTGTTTCTAATGTTTTGCACTTTTTCAAATAGCCCACAGCCCTGACAACACATTCTTGGGTTTTGTTTCGGGTGTAAAAGTCAATGCCTCTGAGAGCAAACGTATCTTGGCAAAGAAACGAAATCAATGTCTTATTTATGGCAGAGTCTTGGATTACTGGCGGGTTAGTATGTTAAACAAACTTGATTTTTAATTATCAGTTCTAAACTGATAAAAATACTAGAGGTCCAATAAGGGTTGATGTTGAGTTGCAACTCTCGCTCGCGTTTGACCGTCAACTCTCATCAACTCTCGTGAAGTTTGAGTTGGTTTAAATTTTGATAAGAGTTTTTTCTTATTTGACTGGTAATATCCAGTCATCTCTCATGCATGCAGCTCTTGTTCTCGTTTGATTGGAGCATGACAAGTGAGATAACTCTCATGCAAACTGTCACAACACTTATTGACTACAGGGGCGAAACTTGAGGGGGGGTGTGGGGGGGGGTGTTACACCCCCCCCCCAAAATACGAATCATCCCGATTGGCAGGGCAATCAAAGGTCTCTTATAAATAAATGATAGCACATAGGCGTACCGGGCGGGGGCAATATTCGATCAACAGTCGGGCAATTTTGGTTTGAAAAAAAAAAATGGGACAAATTCAGTCAATTTTATCTAAAATTAAGTGAATTTTTTCGCAAATTGTGTGATTTTTCGAAAATTTGTGTTATGTTCCGAAAAATATAGGTTGTCCGGAAAAATTTTTTGACCCCTAAAATGGTACACAGACCGAAATTTTTTTGGCGACGGGGGGGGGAGGTCGCCAAAATAATTTTTCCGGAAAATATTTTTTGGTACTTTTTGGCAGGGCATCACTGGTTTTGGCAGGGCAATTCTGCCAGACACCCCCTAATTAAAAGGGGCTAGTTTCGCCCCTGATTGACTATACCATCAACTCTTCTCAACTTTGAGCTTGTTCAAGTTTTGATGAAAATTCATGATAGTTCTGATATTTCAATTAAAATTCATGATAATTTATGATACATCCTGATGACAAGTTGTTGAAATAGCATTGATATATTTTACAGGGTCATAGTAAGTACCTTCAACTTCTAAACCAATATGTCGGTGTTCACTCCACGACAATCAGAGTCAGCAGTGTCGAAGTGAGTTGATCTTGAGTAAGATTATATTTGAGTTTCAATATGTTCTTTTCAAGTTCATATAACTCAACTTTTCTGAGATTTCTTCTACTTTCGTTAGAAACAATCCGAAAGGGTGAAGATGCCTGGTTTTGTAAAGAACCATGGAATCCTTGGACGCGATGCTTTGATGGATTTACTACAGCAGTCAAAGGTAAATTTCAGATATTTCTTGAACTTTCCTTGTGTCTTGAGCAGTCTGTCGGCTGTGCCAGTGTACCTAGGTAGTGGCAATAAGAAGAAAGCTTCGGATTGATAGGGACACAACCATACCTGAAAAATACAAAGAAGTTCTCCTTGTATTTTTCATTTAGTTGCATGTATTCCTATCAATCCGAAGTTTTGCTTGTGTCTTCATTACAACTGGATGTATAACGCTGATTTGTTTCCTAGATATTTGTTGGCTTGGGATTTCCTTACGAAGGACCAGCGCCACTGGAGGCAATCGCTAATGGAGCTGTGTTTCTAAACCCAAAGGTATATTGTCAATTTACATCGCTCTTAACTTCTCCAAATTTTTTCCTCTTAAAATTTCATCCGGATAAGATAAACCGAAATGAAACAGTATGATATCCTAAACATCAGTTTAAACGACAATTCAAGCCAAACTACTTGGACTTCACCCAACTAATATAATACGAATATTTTTTCCCTCTTAGTTTAAAGTTCCCAAAAACCGTACAAACTCCAAGTTTTTTAAAGGAAAACCAACATCCCGATCGGTGAGTAGCAGTTTTAGTTCATACTTGGCTGTATGTTAGACTGGATTTAAACCTTTGTGCTAACGGATATATTAATGGATGTCTGCAGAGTGTTTTTTATTTTGTCTTTTAAAGTTAACTTCTCAAAGTCCCTACCTTGAAGAGTTTATTGGCAAACCTTATGTTTACACTGTCGATATAAAAAACCTGACTGAAGTTAATGAAACTTTGAAAATAATTTTAAAGAAGAAGGTAGGTTTAACGATATTACAAAATTACCAAGACAATAACAACAACAATAACAATAACAACAACAGCAAAAACAACAAACAACAGCAATATCAACAAACAAACAACAATAACAACGGCAACAACAACAACAACAACAACAACAACAACAACAACAACAACAACAACAACAACAACAACAACAACAACAACAACAACAACAACAACAACGACAACGACAACGACAACGACAACAACGACAACAACAACAACAACAACAACAACAACAACAACAACAACAACAGTGACAGTGACAGTGACAGCAATATAACGATGACGACAACAACGTCAGAAACACGACAATGTTCAACAAGATAAAACACATCCATGACGAAATTTAAATTAATACCTAATTATTAATTTAAACCATCTTTTACGTAACTGTTACCTAGCCCGAAACACCTGTCTTTTTCCCTAGGCGCCACCGTTCCTACCAATGGAATATACATGTGAAGGAATGCTTGAACGAGTTGATGCTTTGATTGCAAACCAGGTAAGGAAACCATCCTATTCACAACTAATAAAGTAAATACATCGTGTAAACTTTATCATAATCTATAAATCTATTGATATTGATCATTCTGTCATTATAAATCTCGGATGGTTTTCGCTTTGCGAGTTTTTAGTAACTAAATCTGTTTCTTTCAAAGGACTTTTGCGATGGCAAACTGTGGCCTCCGTTAGACAAGTTGAAAATTGTTTTGAGTCAACGTGGCCAGTCGTGTAAAGAAGCTTGTGGTAGCCGCGGTATGTTTCAGATTAATAAATCCCATATATGGCATAAAGTATACTCAAGAAATTACAGAATCAAACTGCCTGAAAATTAGGATCGTACTACTGGACAATTCAAAGTGTAGTTTGCTTTCGACGTTGCCAGTGAAAGTCTTGTTAAATGTGTCTGGTAGTTTGATCCTTTAATTCCTCATCTATATTGTTCATCACTTTATTCACCGGAATATATTGTTCATCATTTTATGCACGGGAATACTACCTTCAAGATCGTAAAAATTACAATTAAATTTTGAATATTGAAGTTTTGAATATTGTATTTTTCCTTTTTAGGTCGTATTTGTGAACCTGGTTATTGGGAAGTCATAAACCAGAAAGCATTTCTGAAAAAGTAAGTCCGTAAAAATTGACAAAATTGAAAAGTGACAAAATGACATTGTCATTTTCCCCGCTATTTCCGTAGGCCCACGCATGCGCTTGACGTTTAACAGCGATGTTCCTTTAGGCTATAAACCACAATGCTTTATATTCATCTTTTATTTGGTGTTAATTTTTGTTTTACTAGGTTGAGAAAATGTGAAACATACGAATCTGTGAGTGTACTTCATGCCCCATCATTCAACAGCAAGAACGCGGTATGCTATCTTCAGGATAACGTCATGTTATTTTCCTGCGTTGCTAAGCAACGATCTTTACAGCGCCTTTGCCCTTGTCGTAGTTTTCGTAAGGAGCAAGTGGCACTTTGCGAGGGTTGTTATTAAAGTGGCTCTGCGTAGTTTTGAATTTGAGGTGATGTCATTATATGAGGCCTTAACGACGAATCAAAGAGCTGCATGATCCTGTTGGTTATATATGAAGTAAGGTACAGTATTAAACAGCCTTCGCCCACCCCACCCCCAATCACCGTCGTCTAAGACAGGGGTGGAAGCGAACTGTACCTCAGGATGGGCGAACGTTTAAAAGTTGTCGAGGTTATAAAAAATGCGTCGTGTAAAGTACAGTGTTAAACAGCTCCATTCCTCCCACCTCACCCTCGCTAATTGAGATAGGAAGGCAAAGAAAGTTGCAAAATGTTTCTGCGAAAGCGTGAGTTACGGTGTTGAACAGTATCTAACCCTTACACCCCTCCCCCCCACCCCCCCACCCCGCTCCACAATGGTTGCGCCTTATCCCCACCTGAGACAGGCATAGGGGCGAACTGTTAAGGATGTATTATGTGGAGAAATTATATGGTTAACGATTTGCCGTAGAAAATGCGTAAAACATAAAAAAGAGGTAATCGGGGAGTCGCAGATACCAAGAGATGGGCAAGCTTCTGTTTCGCATGTGTGGTAGCAAAGACAGGGCTTGAAGGATATCTATACCGATTCATAGCCTTGATTTGATGTATAGAATTGATGTATAGAATTGAAATTTATCTCAAATATAGTACCTACGAAATTTGTTACATGGTCATATAGCAGCCACGAACCCAGGCGCAATTAACTAAAAATAGGCACACTACAGTGTATTTATACAGATCAGTAGCTAAGATGAGCAAGCGCGCGGGGGTGCTTGGGGAGGACTCGACGGGCCGAGTCCTCCCCAATAACACCCGCGCGCTCTCTCAGCTTAGACACTGATCTATATAAAAACACTGTAGTGTGCCTATTTTTAGTTATTTGCGCCTGTGGTCTTACAGGCAGTACAAAGGCTGGATAATGGATATAACTGTATAAATTTCTCTTATCACAGCAGATAATAAAAATTATGTATTTGAAGTATATATAGGTTTTCAATCAAAGCAATTGTCAGCAATTTAGGCAAACATGGAAAACCCAAACAAATATGAATAAATCTTCCAAAATTGTATTTGATGAGCGGACAAACAGTGGGTTGATTAAAAAGTCGTCGCTGGCCTTTTTAATTAATCGCACTGTTTCATAATAGACACGGGTTAATAATTGAACAGTGAATATAAAGGCTTCGTGTCTACAAAATAATATGCTTCTTCATTGTTTTGGATATGGAGTAGAGAATAGCCGAGGACAGAAACATGAGTTTTGTTGTTGAACTGTTTCGTAAAACTGCTTCGCGTGTTTACAAACGAAAAGGTGATGATGACGCGGAACTGCATCCTTTGCAAGAAGTTTGCGATAAATATTCAAGCTCTTGTTTTGATTTATATCAGGTAAGCTGATGAAGAGATCATTTATCGTTGAACTTATATATCTACCGTAGTTTTTCTGCTATATCTCCGATAAGTAAAAGCATTTAGCCCTATGCAAAACATCGCCTATACAGACCCAGTTGTAGGCGTTTTTTGCACGAACGCTTACAATCAGGGAAAAGTTATTAAAGTTTAAACCCTTCTCAAGTTAGCAAATCCACATTAATTTTTGCTCTATTTTTTCATTCTGTTTCCTCATAAGTATGAATAAAAAGCAACCGTTATAGCCAAATATAGGCCTTGATTTCGTAATCATTGAAGAAGAGGCGTAATTCAAAGCAAATGGCTTTAAAAGTTGTTTAACTTGGAGTCTTGGAGTCTCAGTGTCGAGCACAGCACCAGACATAATGTACTTACACAGTAAACACTTGAAATGATGATACACGATCTGCTTGTAAAATTTTTGCTTTAACGTATGAAAGGCCTTCTCTGACTTCTCTCGAAGCGTCGAGATATGTTTATTAAATGTCTTCAAGGTATATAGTGATATAGTCATCATATGGACAACTTGATCTATGACTATATGCTTCTACCTATATGCAGAGAACCAATATCGTTGTTTAGTTCGCTTTCTGGTTTTAAAATATTTATTGGTTCCACCCGTTGAAGGCTGCAGACAGGCAGCCGAAACTCGTGAAATTAATAAATATTTTAAACCAGAGAACATCCAAAAATTTTAAATGAGTAATCCTGGTTGCGCCTCAAACGTAACCCTCGTCTAGCTTCAGCGAGTATCGAGCGCGCAATTGAGGAGTTCCGTAGAATCTTGTAAAAGAAAACTTGTAAAGGAAAACTTTCTTTTGTTTACTTGACTTTATCGTGTGTTCATTTCCTTTATACTGCAAAAGTAAGTCTCTTCCTTGGTCAAAGGAAACATATAATTGTTGCGATCCTTTTTTACTGTAATCGAAAATGGCAAAGCGTAGCGTACATGTGTAGCAATTTTTGACTATCATAAAAGTAACGCTGTACTACTGACAAATGCTGTAGGACTATTAAATATGAAATGATTTAGCTTAGCCTCAGAAGGTACTCCCTTGTCCTTTCAAACCATGATACAGAACACTCCCTTCGTGGTGGTAATAACAAACTTTTAATATCCAGGACTAGTCTAGATGTAGAACAGCCAGATTTATAATTGCTGGAAGTGAAGCTTTCAACATTTATAAATCGTATTAATATAATTCACTATGACATGTAAATACCACTATAAAATGACTATTTTTAGAGTTGTTTTTGACATTTTATCTTCTTAATCTTGTGCAGTGGCGGAAATTCACTTTTTCCGGGGGGGGGGGGCAAAGCCTTCTAAATTTTCGACAAAACTTTCAAATTTCCGACGTCCCCCCCCCCATTTGCACTCGAAAAGACTGTTTTTAGCCCTCTTTTAGGTCAAAATTTCCGAAAATTCGTCAATTTTCCGTGAAGGTGGGGGGGAGGGGGCGGCCGCGCCCCACCAAGATTTCCGCCACTGATCTTGTAAACCGATGTAATTCAGTCTTGGACAAAATTGGTCTTTTTAATAAATCATATTTTTTTTTATTTTTCTTTTCCTGCAATTAGACGTGAATATTTTTCCCAAAATTAAAAGTGTTAACGTATTAAGCAATATAAATTATGCACGCTCATTAAATAAAAGCAGATTGATTTTGCATACATAGGTCAAGGCAAATTGTTATGATACATTATTAATAATATGTTCTATTATTTACATTCGCTCTTACTACTATATGTAATTACAATTTTTAATAAATGAACTGTCAGCCTTGTAATTATCTGAGCTGCCAAAATTACAAAACTAAATATGCCACAAACTTGACCTCTTTAACATGACCGTGTGTCACAATTTGAATATTCAATCACGAGAGAGCTATCTACTCAAACTGCTGGAGAACTATTGTTTTTAATTCTTCATTATAGATACATTGCGGTTTAATCTTTACCAAGGTTCAGATTCTGACTTCCGCGTTTAATCTAGACAAGTAAAAACGCACAAGTTGTAACAAACCTGCAGAAGACTTGTAGCAATGCTATTTCAACAACTTGTCAACAGGATGTGTTCGCACTGCTTGTTCCCAGCTTGTTGACAATTTGCTACAAGGTTGTTGGGCTGAACAGACTTGTTACAAGTTGTTCCAATAAATTACAAGTTATTGAAATGTTCCAACAACTTAATAGATAGTATGATTAACCAAATGGATTAGCTCATTGAGTTCCAGCGCTCTTTCCTTGACGAGTAAAATTGGCAGGCGTTAGGCAACTTAGGGTGCATTGCAGCTTAAGCCCCGTTTACACTACGCTCAATTTTTGGTACGGCACGGATAAAATTGGTACCCGTACCACTTTTTTGGTTCTTGGACTACCTATTTAGATAGTCCAAGAACCAAAAAGTGGTACGGTACCAAAAATTGAGCGTAGTGTAAACGGGGCTTTAGCGAGCTATTTTATTAAACGAAGAGCCTCGTGAGATAGCGAACGGTTAACATATTTGTGCATGGTATACTACTTCAGGCATGCATCATTGGAGATGTGGACGCAGTGCGATGGTACATAAACGTGGGACACAGAGATGCCAACAAACCAGACGAGAATGGTTGTACAGCTTTATTTTATACCATCCAGAAGAACCGTGTGGTGCTGGTTAAAGATCTTATCAATGCGGGAGCTGGTAAGTTTCTCTTAAACAACTTGTCAACAACTTTGTGAAAATTATTGTAATTAAAATCTTCAATCTTCATGCTAAGACAAATGTTCTCCGGATCAAGAGATCTTGATCTCAAATGTTCTCCGGATCAAGATATCTTGATTTGCTCACAAATGTTCTGAGTATTGTTCATTGTTACAACGTCCTAACAAACCTAATACCACTCCGTTTTTTAAACCTCTGTTATAAACTGGTATCAATTTTAGAGTTTTCTAGGAAAGCTTAGCTAAACATTCCTTTTTCAATAATTTCAGATGTGAATTTGATGGCAAGTTTAGAAGAAGGAGTAATGGTGACTCCAGTTCATATTGCTGCCAAGTACAACAGATGTGAGTGCTTAACAATTCTCTTGGAACATGGCGCTGATGCTAACATTGCTAATTCTTTTGGACAAACACCATTGCACACTGCTGCCAGAAGAAAACTTAATGAGATGGTCAAAGTAAGTATCTTTGTTTTTTGTATAGTTCCCATCAACAGCAACTTGGATAACTCGCGTGCCTTATTACTGAGCTTAACCCTACGTATCTTCTGTTCTGCACAGATTCTTATAAAGAAAGGTTTAGCAAATGTGAACAGTGCAGATCATGACATGGTAACTGCACTACATCTGGCTGCCACACCTGGAAATGCCAACGAAAGAATAAATGTTGTTAAAACTTTGGTAAGAAAACAATGAAAAACTAAACTTAAGTCTCGATGAAATGAAGATGAAAGTTGATGAGAGTTGGGAAGCAAGAGTTTGCATGAACGTTTTCTCAACTTTCATGGTTCATGCCTTAAGCTAGCCTCCCACGATGAACTCCCTTTGTTAAAATTTTGGGATTTCACCACTGATTTCTATGCAACGCTTCCATTATAGGAGGGTGTTGATGGGGGTATTTTTTTACCGTCAGTCGTGAAAACACTAAAAATTTACCGTGAAGCGTGGGGAAAAAAAATACTGTTTATTGTTTTAGAACACTTTTCAAAGATTTACCTTTAAAATACCAAAGTTTTACCGTTAAAATGCCAAATTTTTTACCGTTTACTGATTTTCAAACCCCCCATCTATAGACCCTCTTATAGGCAACGAAACGTCTCTGGACGTAGAGGGATAGCTATTAGTGTCATTAGTACAGTTTCTTATTTTCCTTATGTAGCTTGAGAACGGTGCGAGTCCATTTTGTCAAGATAACGAAGGGAACACGGTCTTTCACGAAGCAGCAGAAAATGGCGTACATGACGTGCTGGAAATATTGTGCCAACACAGAGGTAATTCGTCACTTTAAAACATTTTTCTTCAATTCGATGACTTACAGAATCTGTGGTGACTTGTTAAGAAACAAAATTTGAATTCATATCTGTTTTATTACAGAACTCGAGTCTTGGAATTCTTTAAAGCCCGGATCAAGCGAGGATGAGAGATTGAGAGTGCATGAGAGATTGAGAGTTGGCTTAGTTAGCTGTTCTTAGCTTTCCACTGAGACACCATCATGTATATCAAACTCGCCTTTGTTTGTTGTAATGTCTTTTGTTTCGTTCTCACATAGCATTGTAAATTTCCTAGCGAGTTTGATTCTTCTTCTTCTTCCTCTTCTTCTTCTAAAACGTAGTTGGAACACTTATCAAACCTTTAGTTTATTTTGTTAATCTTTTGAGCTTGGAAGAGGTTCTGAATGGGGTTAACTGACTATACTGACATTTGCCTGAATTTTTGACTGACAACTGACAAAATATCCTAACTGACAACTGAGAAATGATGAAAAAATGATGAAAAAATGATGAATCAGCATTTTGCAGTAACTGACTACTGACAGCCTGCAATATATGGCACTGACAACTGACAACTGGCTTACATTTTAGCTGACAACTGACACCCAAAGACCCCCATTAAGACGCTCTTGGAGTGTCCCCTGACTCTGTAACAATTCGTGACTGCTAACTCTCATCAATTCTCATTCTCATTTGACCAGGCCGGACTGCATACATTATAGTATCTGTTATTATATTTCCCAGGGGAATAACATCCTTAATATCGAAATTTCCATCTTTAAAATCTTCAACCGATTCCAGTTGTAGTTCTCTGAATATAATCCTTCCTCAAGAATTGGTTTCATGTACGAAGTGTGTTTCAAGTTTGACCCTAGCAGACATCGCAGGTTTTGCCCAGGTCCAATAAGGGATAACATGCATTTACTACAGGATATCTGTGGAGAACAATTTAGCACTGATAAACAGATAGAGTTCTAAATTGTCGATATAAAGCACCTTATATATAATTAATGACTTTATGAAATTTTGTTGACTAGGCAAAAGTAGGCACTCCAGCATAGCAGATGTTTTAAACAAACCACGAAACGACGGAAACAATTGCCTCCATCTTGCTGTGAAGAATGACCACGAAAAGGTATTGTGTTTATAGCAATAAAAATAATGAGAAATAAGTATATATTGCAAACAATGGTTGGCTATTGCAGGCATTATCATGGCTAAGATTAAACGAGAGAAAAGATAAAATTAGATTTCCCAACCATTTCTGCATGCGCATGCACTTGTTTCGAAACGTACAAAGAACCTTTAGCCGTTTAGGCTCAGTGTTTTACACGCTAATTCATAGTTTTATAGCCTAATAAACTTAATAGAAGCGAGGACGTTTTTCTTGATAGGTTTTTCTTGCTTGTGCATGTAGTTGTATGTACTGCAAGTTGTGCAAAAAAAGAATTGAAAAACTTAAAGCTGGTCACATCAGCTTTTGACCACTAAGAAATTTATTCGCATGCACGGACTGAATAAATTAAACTTGCCAGAACGTTTTCAAGGAAAATATTTCTTTTCGTACAATGTGCGTTGTCGTGTAACATTGCATTAAGTATTTAAAAGACAATATACTCCATCAGATATCAATTGTCATTTTCGTATGACACTAAGATGTGATAATTCTCAAGACCCTTACAGACGAGCACGTTTTCCTTGACAAGTTTCCTTGACTAGTTACTTAGTTTACTTTCTCGTGTGTATGGTCGACAAGTTTCCATTGGCATTGTTTTGTTGCTCGCGTACACGGAATGTTGTAATTAAGTCTCACGTCAAGGACGCCTGCTGTTTGCAAAAACCACAGAAGTATTTGTTGTACGCTTGTCTATAGTTTTGCTTGGCGACCGTACACACGAACAAATTTTTCTTGTCCATGTTTTCCTGGCATGACTATGACTTTGGAACAATGCTTTTTGGCAAGGAAAACCTGTCAATTTTTGCCGTATACACACGACACTTGTCAAGGAAAAATTGCTCTCTGTACGGGGCTTAACTGTCTGAATAAGTTCAGAAATAATTCATATTTTCAGCACTTGAATTCTGTGAGATTCTTTCTCGGCGACGGCAATTGAACCATCCGGAGTTCTTGCTATTCCTAACGGAGTCCACAATCGTCCCAGGTCCCCTCCGAATCCCCCAGCCTTGCGAAGAATCTTTTCTCCGTCCAGAGAATACACTTCAAGCACATGCGCATTACGATTTAGGGCATAAACCTCGTCCTCACCGACCACCACGTGCGTAGGGATGTTTCCACTCGATTTAAAAAACCTCAGAAATTCGCCTTTATTATTGAAAACCTATAAGACACCGCAAAGAGCAGGTCAAAGTTAGTCATACTAAAGAGGTTTTATTTTAAAAACTGTGGTACTTGTACTACTACAAGGCGCTTAATTTGCTGACGCAGTAGTCGGAATAGGCACTTTTCAACCCTGAGTTCGTGGGTCCGATTCTCGCTATGCCGGCCGGGACTCATGTGAAAAGACTCTTTTCAACACTCTCCTGAAAGTCGTGGGTTTTCTCCGGGTGCTCCGATTTCCTCCCACAGGGAAAGTTCAAAGTTGACAGGGTGGGTTAGGATAAACACAGTTAATAATATCACAATTACTGTAAAGATGAAATAGTCTAGGCTAAGTATGTAACTAGGTAAGCGTAATACTTGATGTAAAGCGCATTTGATCATATATTCACATGTAAACTTGCACTATAGAAATTTTATCCGAGAAATTAAACAATCTTCCATATTTTTAAACATTAAAAACTAATACATGCATACATACAAACCTGTACATTTCTCAGCGGATCACAGACGTATATTTCATTATTTTGTGAAATACTAAGGCAAGAAATATTCTCAAATATGCCCTGCTGTGCAGTTCGGCCACCTTGGCCAATTTTCAAAATGAACTCTCCATTTCTCCCGTAAATATGAACGGCCATTTCATGAAACTCGACCACGAGAATCCGTCCTTCCTTGTCAACAGCGACGCTGGTGAAAAAAGGCGGGAATTTCGGAATTGGGACCGAAATCTTGACAGCTAGTACCGAGTCCCCTTGCATGTTGTATGCATTCACACGGCCAATGCCTTGGTCATCTTTTAAAGTGACTACAACGTTGCCTGTATTGTCTAGAGCCATGCCACTCATGCTTGTTACGTCATCACGGTCACGTTGCAGCAACGTTTTCTGATAGCGGCCTTTCTTGTTGAACAGCTGAAGTCGTTGTGTTGTGTTCTTGCCTTTTGTGTCTTGTTCTAAGACAAGGAAATCGCCTAAAATGTTTAGAAGTAGAGTAAGAGGACAGACCTAAATGATAAGCGAAGTATCGCTTGGTTGCTGTTGCGAACATCTTGATATTGTATTTCGGCCTAGGTTGCTAGTGGCAAATGCACCTAAGCTTTTGCAAGTTTGCTGATTACATGTAGAGTTCTCTGGCCATACTCGACTTGGCGAGTTCCGTGAGTCTGAGGACGGTGCTATACTATAACATAATTTGAGTATATAATTGAATTTGAAGATAAAAACAGTGAAAGTTTCAAACTAAGTTGTTAGCAAGTCTTAGTTTGCAAGTCCAAGTCATCTCATTTCTTGCGAGTCCAAGTCAAGTCAAGCGAAGTCACAAGTCATTCACTCCATGTAACAAGTCAATTCACAAGTCATTCTGAACAGTTCTTTTTACCATGAACTGGCAGTTACCCATGACATACTGTGATATGCCAATCTGGCTGCACTAGTCATGTACTGCATGTGCATTGGTAAATTCCCAGTGCAACTCAGTGTAGAAAAGTAAGGACTTCGTAAGACGTAAGGCATCTCTTGTAAGTCATTTCAGTTCTCAGACACGAGTCGTTAATCTGATTAACAAGTCAAGTCAACTGAGTCAACAACTCTAGTTTCAAAACGTTGTGAATACGGACGTACCTTGTTCATTGACTAGAACATCAGCAGGATACTCCATTTGCCCTTCGTTATTCCCAAAGTCACCAAAACACCAAGACTCCGGCGTCTTCCATTCCGTTCTTCGCCCCGCAATCCGTTCTCCTATCTTTAGTCTTTCTCCTTCCATGTCGATTCCAAACTCGCTTAGAAAATCGACAAAGATATAGAACGCTTCGTTGATGTCCTTCCAAGCTTCCACGCTGTCGTTTTCGTCTTTAAGTTGGAAGAAAACTTGGGAAATCTTCGTTTTTAAGGACACAATCGTCCCTTCTTCACAACCAAAACTACCAGCAACTATAGCTAACTTTAAAGCACATAGCTTATCGTTCACTTCGAGCAGATTTCGTGTTAAATCGTAAGCCATTGCGAATGTATTTTCCCATACTGAAAAACCACTTAAAAGATTTTCCGACTCTTCAAACTCAGCGTATCGAAGTTGCCAAATTTCGTTTTTGATGTTAATAATGGCTCCGCTCAAAAACCTGTTAGCCGAATGCTCTAAATAAGAAAGCGAATTTCGTATTATCTCTCTACACCAACGATACGTTTTGTCGCCATCGATTACTTGCTCTGAGATGTCGTCCCAGTGGTCGCCTACGATAAGCCGGAACGTTAGTCTTAGCCAATTTTCGAAGGTTTGAGCACTCGTTTCTTTTTCGGTCATTGTTGAGTGAAGAAAACTTTCAATAAGTAAAATGTAGTAGCCGTTACGTTTTGATGCGCATATACAGAGTGTACGTGTAATTAATGGTTCACAACAGATCGATTTGTGAAGTAAACTTTGTATGTTTAAAAACAAAAATGAGAACACAATCAATTTCTTTTTATTTGAACAACTGTGTCACTACAATATACGTAAGTTGGGGGTGGGTGGTCATCAGCAGCAGCAGCAGCTGAGGGCTATTATTTTGCAGTTAAGAGCTATGATGAATTGCAGAGGACGCATGCAGCTGTGACGGCAAACAAACTCGTTGAACCAAATGATTGCAGAAGAAAACCTGTCTTCTATTATCCATCGCATGAAAATAATACATTTTAAGGATCAAAATGAACACTGGGTTTATGATTGAGAAAGTTCCAGGACCCAATTTAAAATAGCTCTTGTCCCAGCTTGAAATGTAAGCGTTGTATACAAGACGTGATAATCTGTATTTCGCCGTTGTAAAACAGAGCTACGGCGACGTCTAAAACGTCCGTGGATTTTAATTGTTAATTTCTCATGTGCTCATTTTCTTGCATTAATATAATATTTTAGCTGTTCTCGTTGCACTTTCGTTCTGCTTTGTTGAAGTTCTTAATAACGGTAGTTCTTTATAATTATAAAAGTGTGAAATTTAAGGAGGTTTCTTGACACGTCCCCGTACTAGATTAAGTTTTGCTTAAGTTCGCTATTGTCTGTGGGAGGAAACCGGAGTACCAGGACTCCAGGAGAAACCCACGACTTTCAGTATAGAGCGTTGACTGACTCTTTTTATATATGTGTCATTAGTCCGATGTGAGGATCGAACCCACGATCTCGGAGGTGAAAGGCCCCTGCTCTGACAATTGCGGTCATTTGATCATTAAAATACCATCCAATGAACACATTAGGAAGTAATCGGTTAGAGCCAGGGACGCCGGAACTGGGGGGCAGGGGGGAGGCTGCCCCTCTTGTCTTTTGCTACGGGGGCAGAAGTTCCCTTTTAGTTGTAAAATACTACGTGATAAATCACATTTCCAGTGATGCTTTTTCGGGCAAAATCATGAGATTCAGGTAATTTATAGGCCCAGAGAAAGTTAATTTACAAAAATAAGTGTTAATTTGGAAAAGAATGAGTTAATTTACAAAAATTTTTGGATTTTAGAAAAATATTTTGGATAAGTGGGGGAAAATTGCTGGTGGGAGGTCGCCCAAGAAATTTCCATGTAAAAAAAAATTTTGAACTTTTGATCTTTAAGGTGCCCTTGGTGTGCGTCTGCCCCCCCCCCCCCTTTGCCTTTTTGTCGTTCCGGCGTCCCTGGTTAGAGCACGTTTATGAATGTTGCCACACAAATTCACATTTTCGGGCAACTTATGTGCCTAGCTACCACTGTTCTGATAATGTAACCTTGAACGGCCAGTGTAGGTAGAAAACAAGATTAACTGTGGATTAAGAGGGATATAACTACCTGAACAATATAACCAGAAATTCGTAGTTCTGCTTATATTTTTCACTGAGGTAGTTGTATTTGGTAATGTAAGCACAGAATTAATGGAGCACAATGTAACCGAGCAATTAAATTATACATGTGAGTGAACTGGAAAACAGCAGACATGAAAACGCGTTATAGCCAATTAGTCATAGATCGTATTCTTCGCAAGATTTTAATCGAAATGTATAAAATGTAGGTTCAGTTGTTCAAATAAATAAAGTTGTTTTCATGTAGACATGTGCTTTAATTAAACAAAGTTTAGAATTATGTTCATTCAAGGCAATTCTGGAGGAATTGGGTAACATCGTCATGTTTAGAGACGAATATGATTATTCTCTCTGATTTTTAAAATGCTTTTGCACAGATATTTTACACAACAAGTTTTTGTGATTGCATTATAAAAATTAAAAAAATCGTTATGACCAAATACGATACTTTGTCAAACTCCTTTGTTATTTTTATTTGTAGGTTATTCAAATGTGCATTGATAATAAAGCCGACATCAATAAAAAATCGGTAGGTGTATACACAGTGTACGTTATTTGAACTGACCCCAAAATTTGATTGTTTATATAAAAAAAATGCCATAGAATACATGGATATTTTATTTAGGTTTTAGTGAATGCCAAACTATTATACAACTAGAGCTATAAAGTAATCATGTTTCTTCCCCCTGACTCTAATCTCGTTGGAAAACTGAGCTAGGCCTCACATGTCATCACGCGAGTTTTATTGAAACTATGCACGTAAAAATCTCACGTCTTACCCACAAGATATGTTCACGAAGGACTTCAGAGAGCTGTCAACAAGTTGTCACAATGCTGTTATTTTACCAAGCTGCTACAAACGTTCTCACTCACAACTTGTGTACAAGTTGCTGAATCAAAAGTTGTTACTGAAAACAACTAGTGACAAGTCTACGTCGTTGAGTCATCAACCTTGCAGGTGCGAACACATCATTGGTACAAATTACGTGTTTCTACGCGTGTATCATTTATTTAGGTCAATGGAGATTCACCATTGCACATGTCATGTTGTACGGGAAATACGAATGCTGGCAGAGTTTTACTGGAGAACGGAGCAAACATTAATATTACAGACAACCAAGGTTTCACAATCATTCACAGGTAGAACCTTTTCAAACTGTTTTTGTTGAAGTTAGGTAGCATTATCATCACCATCGCGATCAACTTGAATATATCGCTATCACCACTATTGTCATCATCACTATCACCATCACTACAATTATCACCACCATGCATCAACACTACCACCATCACCACTATCTCATTATCATCACCATCAATATTATCACTATCACCTGACCACTTTCTTCACCACCATGCACCATCACAATCATGCATCACCACCATCATGCATCACCACCATCATGCATCTGCCATCATACACCATCACAATCATGCATCACCACCATCATGCATCACCACCACCATGCATCACCATGCATCACCACCATCATGCATCACCACCACCATGCATCACCACCATCATGCATCACCACTATCATGCATCACCACTATCATGCATCACCACCACCATGCATCTTCCATCATGCACCATCACAATCATGCATCACCACCATCATGCATCACCACCATCATGCATCACCACCACCATGCATCACCACCATCATGCATCACCACCATCATGCATCACCACCATCATGCATCACCACCACCATGCATCATGCTCATGCACCACCATCATGCATCACCACCACCATGCATCACCACCATCATGCATCACCACTATCATGCATCACCACTATCATGCATCACCACCACCATGCATCTTCCATCATGCACCATCACAATCATGCATCACCACCATCATGCATCACCACCATGCATCACCACCACCATGCATCACCATGCATCACCACCATCATGCATCACCACCACCATGCATCACCACCATCATGTATCACCACCACCATGCATCACCACTATCATGCATCACCACTGTCATGCATCACCACTATCATGCATCATGCTCATGCACCACCATCATGCATCACCACCACCATGCATCACCACCATCATGCATCACCACCACCATGCATCACCACCATCATGCATCACCACCATCATGCATCACCACCATCATGCATCACCACCATCATGCATCACCACCATCATGCATCACCACCATCATGATGATGATAACTTTATTTAACCACGCTAACATTGTCAGCTAAAGCTGGTTTCCACAATGGGCGTGTAAAATATTTACAAATAGTTACAAGTACAATGAAAAGAATGAAGAATAAGCATGCAGATATACATAAATATTCAAAAAGTATCTATTTACAAGATTTATGAATCATGTTATTTCAAAAGGTAAGGGTAGCGATTTTTCTTTTAAAACATGAAATCGATTTACTTTCTGTTATATATTGTTATGAAAAGCCCTTATGGGGATTAACTAATAAATCATATTGTATTGTTTATATTGTGGTATGGAGTTCCAGATAGAAGCTCCATCGTACATAAAACTTTTCTTCATATTGTATCATGCATCACCATCAATCACCCCCACCATACAATTCTATTTTTCTTCCTCTTTAGAGCCGCTGCAAAAGGGAGCGTAGAATGTTGTGCTGTTCTTCTCAAGATGGTAACTTAATTAAAGTATTGTTGAATGATTGACGAGGGTGTCAATATAAAAGTACGTAATCTATGTTTACTTCATATAGGTGTACTTTCTCACATGTGTTTTATTATACTAGGGTGCCGACATAGATACATTTCATTATTGTGGTACAGCATTAGTATTAGCCAGTCGCTACGAACAACATCAAGTAGTGAAGTACTTGCTTGACAACGGTGCAACTCCTACCATACGAGATAAAATGTTGGACACGTGCTTACATCATGCCGTGAAAAATGGTGATGTTGAAACGGTCAAGATTATCATGGAAGTAAGTTGTTCTCTTGATAAAACTTTAATAATTACCTTACCGAAATGCTAGGAACTACAGGGTTTATAAAAAAACGGAGCAATTTTTTGCAACTGAACAAGACGCCCAAAAATCTTGATATTTATCCATATCCATATAACTTCATAAGGGACCGATCATTATATATGGCGGGGGTGGCAGCGAAGAGAAAAGGGTTGAGTGAACAAAATTTTGAATGAGTAAAAGGTTGGGTAAATGAAAAATGAAACAACGCAATGGTTGGGTAAAAAAATATTGTCATTTCCAAAGCATGACTCACTGAAATACTGAAGACTAAAAAGCAATGTCAACAGTCATAGGTCAATACAAATATTTGAATAAATTAGAGTTACTATCTTGATCATTTTCCGATTTGTCGGAAACATAGTGCCTCCAAAGTACATGTGCAGACAACATGAAACTTTAGACTGCAGAAAATTGCACAAGCAGCTATCAAACTTGTGTCACAGAAGTGGAAAAATATCACATGTGTGACGACAGCTGAACGGTATCCGATTTTGTAACGTTTTTGGTATAGGGGTGGGTATTTATTTTTAAATTGATATTTAAAGTTGGCTGGTTGGGTAAGAAAATGTTTTGACTTTTAAATGGTTGGGTCAGCAACATTAATTTCACTAAGAAAAACATTTATATTTCAGTACCAACCCCCGCCATAAATAATGACCGGTCCCAAATATACTTTTTAGAAATGTGGCGATCAATTGCTGGAACTGAAAGACAAACATGAAAACACCACATTACATGTAGCTGCGAGAACGGGCAATGAAGAGGTGAGCAAGTCAAGAAATACCGTAAACCTCTGAATATAAGCCCCCCCCCGCGAGTATAAGCCCTCCGACTATATGCCTCCCTTCCGAATATAAGCCTAACGTGTATAAGCCCACCACATGTACTAACGCTCACCTCATTCCAAATATAAGCCCCTCCGAATATAAGCCCCCACCGAATATA